GTCGTCAACGAGCACAAGGAAGTAGCGCTCACCATACGGTCCGGGGACGGGGGCAGGGCCCCAAACGTCCAGGTGCGGGGTCTGAAGGGGGGCAGTAGCAGGGCGCAGCGAGGAGGAGTGAGGAGAACGGCGGAGCCGGCCCTCGACGCAAGGCGTGCACGGTGGCGCAGTCGAGGGAGGAATGGCGGGGAGCGACGCAGGGAGACCTAAGACAAGACCGTGCTGGGACATGTGACGCAGACGAGGGAGGGCAGGGTGACCTAAGCGGTGGTGCCAGAGGAGGGACGGGTGAGTGAGGGAACGACACGAGCAAGCTGCAGCAACCTGGGAGGACGTACCAACCGGAGGGGAAGCGGTGTCTAGGGTAAACAGACCGGACACTGGGTCCCGGGGGAACGCCGCAAGGGGGGAACCTGAGACAGCCTCAGAACAGACAGCGAACCGCTCGTGCCCGGGGAACGTGGTGGTGACGCCGAGGTCCTGAAGACAGCCGACACCAACCAGGTTCCTCGAGAATGAGGGAACGTGGAGGCCTGTAAGGGAGCCCGAGGGAACTGCTGGACAGGGAAGGGACGTAGAACTGCGAGCGACGACAGGACCCGCAGAGGGGTCAGCGAGAGAGACGACAGCTGGCGTAGCAAGCGGCGTGAGCGCAGAACGGTCGCGGAAGAAGCAGGCAGAAGCACCGGAGTCGAGAGTGAAGGACAGCGCCGCAGTGGCGGGGACAGGGAACGGAGACGGTGCAGAGACGAGGCTAGACAATCTAGGCAGTCCTATGCCTGACGCAGCAGGGGAGGCTAGGCTACACAGCGGTGCAACACCTAAACTAGAGAACACAGGGTAATAAGATCCAGCAACACTAGCAGCGTCAGAATACAAAGCATGCAAAGCAGCACCTATCTGATCCATGTCTAACTCAAAGATCGGCACGCCCTGGCGGAGCAGGCGGTGCCAGTCAGGGAGGTCCGGGGCCGGGCCAAAGCGACGACGAAAGAGATCGTCGAGGCGGCGGAAACAGCGGGCAGTCGGGTGCGGGCGGCGGCACAGAGTGCCGCGAAGGGGCCTGGTCTGAAACTGGTACTGACAGGTCACAGCACTGGGGCCATTGGTAGACGCCAAGTTGCGCGGGCCGCCACCACTGCCACCACCTCCTGAGGTGCCGGGCCAACCAGACGGGAGACGAGCCCACTGCTGCGGGAGCTGCGGCTTGGACTACGGCTGCTGCTGAGACGGCGGCTGCGGCGCGGGCTGCTCCTGCGGCGGCTGGGGCTGCTGCTCCTGACCACCAAGGCTAGTCCCCCCAGACGGACTACTCTCACGACCACCAACACCACTACCGGCGCCACCACCCCGACCACTCTGGCGATCACGGCTAGTGCGGCGCGAGCTCTGCTGCGGGTGGACCACAGCAGCCGTCTCAGTGAGGGGGGTGGCCGTGGCGACCGCAGCCGAAACGTCAGTGAACGTACACTAGGAGGGGGCACAGCCGTGAAAGATAGAGACTGCCGGCGCACTGCTCGACTGAGCGATAATGCGCTGGCGAGTCTCGATCTCGGTGAGGGTGTCGACAAAGGCGGTGAGAGTGAGGTCAGCCAGGCGCAGGCTAAGGAAGTGATCACGAGCACTAGCGAGGCGGTCTGGCAGGCGCATGGCGATAAAATAGAGCGTCATGCAGAAAGGGGGGGGGAGCGCAGTGAGCTGGGCAGCAATGCTAGCAGTGCGATAGCGGGTCTCTAGGGCACGCAGGTGAGTGGCAAAGTCTGCGACGGTAGGGAAAGCTGCAAGGTCTGGAAAAGGCATAGGGAAGAGCAGGCGACCAGCAGAAGCAGAGGCGGGTGTGGAATAGCGGGCAATAACAGCGTCTAAATAAGCTTTGGCCGTCTCAATAGCAGCAAAATGCGAGCGCTCAGAGACAGGGAGGGCGTGGCTAATGGCAACCTGAGCGACTGCATCTCGGGAGTCCCAGACCGCACAGGCAAGCGCAACAGTAGAGAAGGTCTCACGGTCAGCAGAGGAGGGATCAGTAGGGAGGGGAGCAGGTGCGGGGGGGTGGGGGAGCAAGCCGTCAACATGGACGACCAAAGAGTGGCCATCCTGGCGCTGACCTGTAAGCTGGCGGCGGAGATCGGAGAGCCAGGCGGCGAAGTCAACCGCATGGCCCTCGGCGTCCAGTCGGAGCACGAAGTCCGCCATCGTGCAGTGTCAGCGGCACAGCTCCACAGGAACACAGCGACGCAGAACCACGGCGACAGCCCCCTTCCAGCACGGCGGCCACGAAGCGCCTCAGCACGGGCGAGCCGAGGAGACGGAGCCCGAGGGGGGGCACGGCAGGTGCGGTGGGGCCAGGCAGGTGCTGGCGGGGCCAGGCAGGCGGGGCGGGGCCAGGCAGGCGCGACGGGGCCAGGCAGGGGCGACGGGTCCAGGAGGCGCGGCAGGGCCAGGCAGGCGCGACGGGCAGGCAGGGGCCGCGGGGCCAGGAGGCGCGGCGCGGCCAGGCAGCGCGGCGGAGCAAGGCAGGTGTGGCGGGACCAGGAGGCGCAGCAGGGCGAGGCAGGCGCGGTGGGGCCAGGAGGCGTGGCAGGGCCAGGCAAGCGCGACGGGGCCAGGCAGAGGCGGCGAGGCCAGGCAGGCGCGGCGGGGCCAGGCAGGCACGACGGGGCCAGGCAGGCGCGGCTAGGGCCAGGGAGGCGCGACGGGGCCAGGGAGCGCGGCAGGGCCAGGCAGGCGCGACGGGGCCAGGCAGGCACGGCTGAGGCCAGGGAGGCGCGACGGAGCCAGGGAGCGCAGCGGGGCCAGGCAGGCGCGGTAGGGCCAGGCAGGCGCGGCAGGGCCAGGCAAGCGTGACGGGGCCAGGCAGGCGCGGCTGGGGCCAGGGAGGCGCGATGGGGCCAGGGAGCGCGGCGGGGCCAGGCAGGCGCGACGGGGCCAGGCAGGCGCGGCTGGGGCCAGGGAGGCGCGACGGGGCCAGGGAGCGCGGCGGGGCCAGGCAGGCGCGATGGGGCCAGGCAGGCGCGGCAGGGCCAGGCAGGCGCGGCTGGGGCCAGGGAGGGGCGATGGGTGCTAGGAGGCACGGGGGGCCCAGGAGGGGCGCGACAGGCTAGGAGGCGCTAAAGGGGCCCAGGGGGGGGCGCGACAAGGTCTAGGAGGCGCGGCAGGGGCCCAGGAGGGGCGGCGCGACGGGGCCTAGGTGAACGCGCGACGGGGCCTAGGAGGCACGGGCGGAAGCGGTAGGTGGGAGGGGTCGAACCTACGGAATCTTGACTCCCCCTGAGTGCCGCCCTCACGTGACGGGATTTTGATTCGACGTAACCTGGGCATCAAGAATTCGATGAGGAGTTAGCCTGAATTCTAGGTTGCGTAGGGCTGTAGAGGAGTGTCTCCAGCGGTGAGGAGGGGAAGATTCTCTCTAGCATTGAGGACTTCCAAAATTTCATATTTGCAGGGGGAGTTCTGGAGGATTGTATCTAGCATTCAGGACTTCGCCGATTTTTCAGAGAAGCGGGGGGTTTCGGAGGGTTGTCGCTTGCATTGAGGGCTTAGCCGAAATGTATTTGGGCAAAAAAAAACAAGGGTTACCCAAGTGGCGCACGTGTATGTGCAAGATTCGAGAAATCAGGGTTCTGCCTGAAGGCATACTGACGGCTCAGGGTGTTAAAGTAGCTCTAGGCTAGGATACTAGGCAGGAACAAGGCCGCCATGAATGTGGCGGCGGGGTTTAGCTAGGAGCTGGACGAGAGTGTCGAGAGAGAAGAGAGTTGGATTAGAAAGAGAGGGGAGTACAAGGAGGGGTTTGTACCCCCTACAGAAAGGTTCAGTAACAACCTACCAAGCCTATATTAAATTATAACTTATATAATTTGAACACACCCCCCAGGCTTGGTAGCGTCAAGCCCACTCATACCCCCACACCCACACACACACACCCACACCCCCTAGCCCAGCACCCCCATTCCCAGCAGGAACCGAAACGACTCCGGAAGTGGGCAGATCCCACGGCCCGCGGGATGGCTATGGCGGCAGCAACGACAGTGACGACAGCGGCGGCGGCGGCGGCGGCGTGCGGCGGCGCCCGGCCCGCGGCAACAGCGGCGGCTTGAACGTCAGAGGCTGGTGCAGCGGCCCCCGCCCTCTCGGCGGCATGTCCATTCCCCTCGGCGGTGGGGAGGGCCCTCATGAGGCAGTCGTCGGCTGCAGCAAGGAGGTGGGGGATGCAGGGGAAGGAGGGGGAGGCGGGGGGGGGGGGGGGGGGGGGGGGGGGGGAGGGACGAATCTTCAGCGACGCGCCATAAAATGGCGCGACGCTTACTGGCGGGAGGGCGGCGACGAGGCGGACGGGCGATGGCAGGACCACGAGCCCGCGGCGGCATCTCGCAACGGCCATCACAGCGGCACGAAGACAAGAAGCCGCGACGGCGGCACAAAAGCGGGAGGCCGCCACGGCGGCAGGAAAATAAGGGGCCACGACGGCGGCACAGGCACGGACGATTAAAGCACGCGGCGGAAGCGTGGGGAGCAGGCCCACAAACGGTCACCTGCTCTGATATCATGTTAAAGTAGCTCTAGGCTAGGATACTAGGCAGGAACAAGGCCGCCCTGAATGTGGCGGCGGGGTTTAGCTAGGAGCTGGACGAGAGTGTCGAGAGAGAAGAGAGTTGGATTAGAAAGAGAGGGGAGTACAAGGAGGGGTTTGTACCCCCTACAGAAAGGTTCAGTAACAACCTACCAAGCCTATATTAAATTATAACTTATATAATTTGAACACAGGGCTGGTACACGAACACTTTACTGAATCTGCAGGGTTGCACTATGATTCAAAACTGAATTCACAGGGTGAAAATTTGTCTCAAACGGATTTTTCAGGATTGACACCTAAGTGGCATCCTGAAAATTAGGAATTCAGGATAAAACATCCTGAAATCTGAGGCCCGTCCAACCCTCGACATTCAACATAGTCAGCTCGCATTATATAAGCCCTATGCCTCATTTCTATCGTCATTCTGTAATCACTTTTCCTTTTAGTATTGTGCGCTGAGTTATAATTCATAACATAGACCACCACCCTAAGCGTGTGGTTTACTTCAATGCACAACACATGTGTCTAAAACATACACGCCAAAACCCCTCAAATTTGGCAAGGTGCCTTGCTTGTCCATGTGTACATGAATAGATTTTGCGACAAGCTGGTTGGTGCCCCCTTCCCCCTCCCCTGCCCTTCCCCTCACTCCCGGCCCGTCTATCCTTCCCCACTTCCGACTCTTCCTCTCCCCACCCCCCTTTCCACTCCCCCAGCACCCCTTCCTCCTCCAACCAACCCCTTCCGTGACACGGGCAGAAGACTTTCCCCGTGCTTCACCACATTCAACATCACTCGACAACATCCGCAAGCCCAAACCCCAAACCCTGTACCTTGCATCCTCATAGCAACGAAGGCTACTCGCGGCCCAGCTGCTCTACTACCTCATTCTATTGCCACTGGGGCACCGACAGCAGCGCCCACAGCAGCGGCAGTACTCCCCTCCTCCGCAACCCCTCTCCCCCCCCGTACCCCCCTCTCCTCTGGCTACCCTCTGAGGCCGGGGTGGCAGCAGAGCTGCCGGTGCCTTCCCCTTGCCCCGCCGCTCCCCACTCTCCTCAACCCCACACTCCCCCATCTCCACAGAACAGCCTCTATTGCTGCCGCTTTGGCTCGGCCCGAGCCTGCTCCGGTGCAAGCAGCCACACTGCCTTGGTTCGGCTGCTCTGCCGTTCCTGGCGCCTGCTCCAGCCTCGTCAGCGTCGTCATCTATATTGTCGTGCGTGGCTGACAGCGTGTATTGCGAGTCAAAGCACGACGAAAAGGGTAACCGCATGCCTGAGAGGGCGATACCCTCACGTCTCCCTGCTGCTCCGCCTGCTGCTGCCTGTTCCCCGCCACAAACACTGTTCACTGATGCCACAGTGACTGCTGCTGCTGTAGCACACCACTGTTCAAGTGCGGACAAACCCAGCCACCCATCTAAACTCAGTGACTCAACACCGTTGCCTCCATTCCCGCCCACCCCACTAGCCCTACTCCTAGTGCCTCTTCCGCCACAGCTGCTACAAAAGCTGCACATCCCTGCTGCAGCTGCTGCTACAGCCGACGCCCTGCCATGCCCGCACGCGCTACAGCCGTGATATCCTCCCTGCCACGTGGGCTCTTCCGCGTCCAATAGCCGATCGCCCCGCCACCTGCACCTGCTGCCTCCCCCCCGCCCTGGAATCCGCGCACTGCTGCTGCTGCCACCCGCATTCCCGGACCTGTCCCGCAGCTTTGGAATCCGAAGCTCGTCTCCGCCGCCCCCGACCAGCGGGACAGCCTCGGAGAGCGAGTCAGAGCTACTGCCAATCCTGTCATTGTCGTCCTCGTCACAGTCACTCTCGGTACTGCCTCTAGCGCTATCACTATCACCCCTGTGCTCCGCATCCTGAGCACCAGCCGCGTTTGAAGCAGCTCCGCTAGAAGAACCAGTATCCCTTAGAGCACCATCCCCGCCAGTACCCGCGCTACCACCCCCGTCCTCTACTTTCCCCTTCCCCCTATCCCCCATCCCGCCCTCCCCCCTCCTCCCCCCCCCAGCCCCTCAACAACCCACGCCTTGCCTTCGGGCTGCCCGAGAAACTTCAGAAACCATCCGAACGGGCGCTCCTCCTCCCCGCGCCACAGCCTCCCCGCGCCCACCTGGCGGAACTTCTTCTCCAGCTCCGCGTGAACCACTTCGAGAATGCCCACCTTCTCGGAAACCACCATCTGCGCCTCCACGAGCTTTAAATGCAGGTTGTGCTCGCGCCAGTTGTCCGCGCGCGCCAATTGCGCGCGCTCCAGCGTGATCTCCTCCAGCAGCTGCCGCCGCGCGAGTTCCGCCGCGACCGCCAGCCGCTCCGCCAGCTCGCGCCGCTCGCGCTCGTCGGAGGTCTCGCGGCGGGAGGTGAGCAGCGCGTTGTTGAGCTTTGCGCAAGCCTGCCCCAAGCGCTCCTTTTCCATGCGCTCGCGCACGAAATCCAGCCCCGCCTGCGCCACTACCGCCTGCATTTCCGCCACTTCCGCCTTTGCGTCCGCCAGCTCCCCGCGCAGCTCCGACAGTTCCGCGGACTGCTTCGCGAGCTGCTGAAGCAACTTGGCGAACTTCTGCGAAGCCGTTAGCGAAGCCATGTTAACAACGGCGGACGACGGCGGGCGGGGGTGGGGAATCGGGTGGGAGGCGTGGGGCGGGGCGATGGAGAAGGCGGGGAAAGGGGAGGGCGCGGAGGGGGAGGTGGGCGGGGAGACGGCGGAGCGGGAGGAAGCGGCGGCGGCGGAGGAGAGCGTGGGGCTGGTGCCGCCGGAAAAGGTGGTGGCGGTGGTGCTGGTGATGGACGACGCGGAGGGGAAGGGCGCGTGGGAGAGCGCGAGCAGCGCGAGGGGGTTGAGGTTCGGGGGGGGCGACGGGGAGGGGGCTCTCGGGGGATCGGACGACGCGTCGCTCGCAGTGTCGTCCTCCTCCCCCTCGTCTCCCCCTTCGCTCTCCTCGCTCCCCTCACTCCCCTCGCACCCCTCGCTCCCCGCGCTTTCCTCCTCTTCGTCCTCTACCGAGTTCCCTTGTAGCGAGATATCCTCTATCGCGTCCTCCTCTGCGTGTTCGTCCTCGCCTTTCTCCAGCTCTCGCCGCCCGTGCCCTCCCCTCTCGTCCCCGTCGCCTTCTTGTCTCTCCTCCTCCCCCGCATGCCTCCCGTCCCTACCCTCCTCGCCTAGTCGTGTCCCACACTCGCCGATTCTTGCTTCGCGGTACACACCTTCACCGAATCTGCCTTCTCCGCTTCTACCTTCATCGAATGTACCCTCCCAGTTAACGGCGTCAACGTTTCTACCTTCCCCGGCAGGTCTTTCGCCAGGTCTTTCGCCATTTTCGTCTTGATCGAATATTTCGCAGTCCTCGCCTTCGCCAAGTCTGCACCTGCTGCTTCCTCTCCCTAACGTGCCCGCAACGCCCTCTTCACGGCTTCTCTCGATTTTCTCGTTTCCGTCCTCCGCTTCCCCCGACCTCCCTGTAGCGACTGGAACCGACAACTCTCTGGTTTCCGCGACGTCGCAGCTGTCGCGAGCAGGATTCGCAGCCGCAGCCGCCGAAGAATTCGCCAGGAAGGTCGTCAAGGGAGTCAGAGGTGTCGCAGGGCGTGCGACGTCTCCTCGCGACGAACCTGTTCCTGCGGTAAAAATCGGCGCGGCAGCATGGAATGACGCTGGGCGGCCCACAGATGGAAAGACAGAGGCGTGCGGGAGCGAGAAAGGGTTCGCTGCTGTTGTGCTGTCACCGAAGCTGATACTTTCGAGGGTGATAACAGGGGCGACTTTGCGAGACGCGGTCACGCTGGCGAAGGGATTAAAGCGGCTGGGAGTGGGTGATGATTGCGACAGCGAGGCGGCGACGGCGGCGAAAGGGGAAGAGCTAGCGCCTGCAGCGGCTATTGGTTGCTGCTGCTGGCGCTGCTTGTCGGCGGGGCGCATGCGGCGGAGGTAGCGGCGGGCTGCTGGTAGCCGCGCGACGGGCGGAGGCGCGGAGGAGTCGGGGGGAACGGAGGTGTCCATCAGACCGGCTCGACAGGGGGCAAGGATGTTGCCTCCTGACGGAAAAATAAATATCAGAACAGACGGCGCTAAGTCCTCTCCCGTTGTTCCGCCCTTAGGGCTTGTGGGCGGAAAGGCGGTGATCAGAGGGAGACTAGGAGGAAAGGCGGTGATCAGAGGGAGAGGCGAGGCCTGAACGGAACGGAAGCCCATGAACTCGATCCAGTGCGCAGCAAACCCTAAATTGTGCTCTCAAATCACTCGATTCGTAGACATCAGTGGGACTGCGTGGGGTGGATGGAAAGGCTGCTCGTAGTGGAGAGGGGATGGACAGACGGACAGGCATGAGAGATGCCCGCCAGGCCCCTCGATAAATTTAGAGTAGAACTTATGGAAATCATTTCGCCCTATTCCTTAGCCTAGCGAGTTTTTTTTTTTGGAATCCGTACAGGTTACACTTGTAGCAGGGCAATCTGTAGGGGGTAGCGCCCCCCAATCTCCCCTCACCATCAACGCGCCCTCCCTCCCCCCACCCCCCTCCACGCCCCCCCCCCCCCCCCCCCCCTCAACCCCCCCTCTTTCCCTGCCAGCCGAATTTGTAGCGGCCGATTCCCTTTGGCAACGGGTTTTTTCGGGGGGATCCCGTCCAAAAACGGGTTACCCAGAGGCAATTCCTTCCCCTTCCAGATTACCCTGGGGCTTAGCGAGAGGCAGTGTAGCTGCAGTACGCCCCCGGCACCTCTGCAGCACGCGGAGAGCACCGCTACTGTATACTTGTACAGCTGTCGCGGCGCGGTGCTGACTGCTCTCTGCTCACGGCAACAAGCTCGCACATTGTCGTGTCTCGAGTCGTCGCCACTCGGAGCAGACCAGGTGGCGCGGTCGAATTGCCCGACGGGAGGAGGAGACGCGACATGGATGGCAGGGCAGGGCAGTGCCAGCCTCAGCTGTCAGCCGCGCCACGTTGCGAATTCGGCCCGAGTCAATTATCACATCCCACAATAGATCCGAAATTCCCTTACGCCGATTGCCAATCGAATTGATTGCGGCAACAACACAGCCACCTCAGGCCTCTAAATTTCAGGGCAATCACTCTTTGTCTGGGAAAACAAAGTGGAACTATGGTCCAGCCCTGCTTTTGACGCATACCGAATATCGATACCCGTCCTTGAACAGACAAGCCACAACGACTTCAGGGCCTGCAAATATGATTGAACTTTTAGGGCTACTGAGTCTCTGGAGGGCGAGAGGCCTGATCCCCCTTTTTCCCCCCTTCGCTCCCACTTTCCCCACCCTGGAACTTTGTCGCGACAAGTGAGAACAAAGACGGGCTGGCAATTCTACAAAACTCCTGAGAATACTGTACAAACAAGTTCCACAAATCCTTCATTTTGTCGTCGTGTCTCACGACCGCATTCAAAAGTGCTGATTAGGTGGCAATGAATGGCGTTTACGTCGCCAATGAAGTATGCCTGCCTTGGAAAGAGAACGTCGGTAGAACGTTCATGGAAGTTCGGTACATGACAGTGAAAGCTACAGCAGCCAAAAAATCTCATCTCAAACGACCAGTCGCCGAAAAAGTTGCTGCCACTGCATACACCTTGAGCCTGACGGAGGAACACAGCTTTTCAGGGTGCCGGTAGACAAAAACGCGCACGGGTTTCGCGCGGCATCGTCACGGGCATGTGGGCCTTTCGCACGGGCATGAAGGTTACCATTTTTATGTTTTGCGAGGTAGGTTTGAGCGGCATATTTTGGCGAGCCATTTTTCACTTAGTTACCCTGTGTTAAGTTTTGACGCTTTCAAGCTTGAGTGAGTTTCTCCGGTGTAGCACCAAGGTGGTGGTTGGCGGGTGAGATGTTGAGTGAGTTTCTCTGGTTTGGTTTGCTCCCTTTTATACTAAATGTGGCGAGGGCTTGGAGTCGCATTTCAGTTCCAAATCTTAGGGGCGTGTTCTAAAGATTTCTTACATTACGAATTGAAGGTTCGTGTCGCAACAATAACTGCTGCGTGGATTGTGGAAATTTGTTTTACGAGTCTGTTCCTGGGTTGGCTGTCGGATGTTGAGAACGACCCCTAGCATCGGGGCATCGCGACTCCATTTCGCTGCCAAGTCAGCATTCGGTTTCATGCGGCGATGCTCAAGCCACAAACAAACCCAACGAGGCGTACGCACCTTTGCGAGCTCAACAAAAGGCTCGCTGAGCTTCGCCGGAGAGCTATTCCGAGCGCGACTGGAAGTTTGTGGCGAAAAGGGTTGCGGCGCACATCTTTCGTCTTGTGCCGCATGTTTGTCACCGCTGTCATGATAACGCTGCACTGTTGGCTCTGTTCATGGCTCACGTTGAGTGGGCCGTTGCCCGTGTGTCAACGCTAATGGGAGGTGGTTTCTAATTGGGCCTCGTATTGCGCTGGGCCTTGGGTGTGCACCCTGTGTAGTGAGATGGCCAAAAGATTGGGAGGCCGTCTCCCCTACAGCATCTGAGCTGAGCGCTCAGTGCATCGACGAGCATGCACACCACAATAAGGCTTTATATGTCATTTGTAACAATTTATTGGTGAAGCTAACTAATCAACATGTAGACATCTGGTCAAACATGACCCCAGCACTATATGCAAGCCGCGTAAACACAAGCCAAACCCGCCACTGTACCCTTGTCTTGCAATTCACTAACAGCATTACCCCATGAACCCACTGCCTGCTGTTGGCTGCCTCATAGGCACAGCTGTCCGCCCCTTCGCCTCCGCCTCCACCTGCTGCCGCTTCTCCCTCTGACCAACCCAACACGCAGAGAGACAAGGGAAGGAGGAAACCAAGTCAGCGGAGACAGCAGCGGAGGAATACACGTCAGGAAATAGGCACGTATGCAACCAGAGGGAGAACAGAGGGAGATGCGCAAGTGCAGGACTTACAGTGCGGATCTCGAAACCCCCCAACTCAAAAACTTAGGCTTTGACTCGAGGGGCATTTTGGATGGGGCTCAAAACCTTAGGTTTTGACATTAGGGGGTTTCGAGATCCTCGCTTTAACGAACGCATGACAATTCAGAACTGGCAGGTAAAAATACAAGTCCCAACCCCACCTGTCATGGTGACAAGCACATGCACTCCATGGCTATCACATGCACTCCATGGCTATCACATGCACTCCATGGCTATCACACACCTCCTGCCTTGTCGCCTCCACGGTTGATCTCACCAGCATGTTATCCCGGTAGCTCAAGGCTCCAAGCCAAAGAACACACCCTTCCCAACAGCACGCACCTCCTGCCACCCTTCCCAACTGGCGGCATCAAGTCCACCCTTCCCAACTGCACCTCCACGGTGGACTTGACGAGCATGTTGTCGAGGTAGCTGGCGTGGTTCTTGGGGCAGTGCCGCCCACTCCTACAACATTCCACACTCAATGGCAGCACCCACCTCCTGCCGTCTCGCCTCCACGGTCGATTTCACGAGCATGTTGTCGAGGTAGGAGGCGTAGTTCTTGGGGCAGCGGCGCCGGAACTCCCTGAAGTGCACGTCGGCCTGCTTGCTGTCGCCCATCAGGCTGTACACCAGCCCCTTGCACAGGTACGGCCGGAAGTCGCTCGGGTCGCTGCTGCTGATGGCGTCATACTGCGCTATGGCCGCCTCCACGTTGCCCTGGGGGTGGGGAGTGGAGGGAGAGCAATGGGGAAAAAGCGGGTGAGGAGAGAGGGGAGCGTGAGTGGGCCTGTCTGCTGTCAGCCATGGGGCAGAACACAACCCCCTTGCACTGGTACAGGCAAAAGCCGGTGGGGTCGGTCTTGGTTGTTGCGTTATACTGTGCTATGGCTGCCTCAACGTTGCCCTGGGGGGTGGGGAGGATGGGGAGAGTGGCAATGAGTGGGGAAGAACGCAAGGATCAATGCTTAGGAGCCGGAGAGAACAGATGATCCACGGGGAGACCTTAGGCAGTTGAGCACACGCGTGAGTAGTCTATTTTTGAGGCGCCTCAAAAATAGTTGAGCACAAGCGCGCTCCAGCATACAGGTAGACAACAACAGATAGGTGTGGGGGAGTGAGTCGGAGTCATGGACCCATCACAGTAAGTGTGGAGCCGTCAAGAGTCGGAAAGTACAGCCAACGATCGTCACTCTCACTCTTCGCACAGCAACAGCACCGCATGGCAGCATGGCAGCATGGCAGCATGGCAACAACGACTCTTGCTGCCATGAAAGCATGGGTAAAATCATGCGAGAGTGGCAGGGACAGACTCCAGAGAGAGCATGAGAGAACACGGGCACATGGGCACTGGCTACAATCTACGAGCAAAGCAAATGAGAAGGGAGTGAGTCAGAGTCATGGAAGAGAACCCCACTTGGACCCATCACAGCACGTGTGGAGCCCTCAAGGGACGTACAGACAACGATCGTCACTCTCACTCTTTGCAGATCAACACAGCACTACAGCATGGCAACGACGGCTCTTGCTGTCATGACAGCAAGCATACCACGGGTCGTGAGAAGCACCAGGGACTGGACTCCAGAGGGAGCAAGTGAGAACCCAGGGCACATGGGCACATGTGCACATGGGCACATGAGCGCATGGGCACTGGCTACACATCAAGGCCAGTTCAAATCAGGGAGTGAGTCGGAGTCATGGAAGATCGCCCCACTTGGACCTATCTATCACACGCAGTGCGGAGTCCTTTAAAGTCGGGAAGTGCAGACATGGTCGTCACTCTCACTCTTGGCACAACGAACCACTTCAAAGCAGCATGACAACAACGGCCCTTGCGGCCATGCATGCACATGGGCACGTGGGCACATGGGCACACGGGCACGTGGGCACGTGGGCACGTGAGCACACGGGCACGTGGGCAGGTGTCCACATAGGCGCATAGGCATTGGTTACAAGATCAACGACAGCAAGTTAAGAAAGGAGGGAGAGAGTCGGATTCATGGAAGAGAACCCCACATGGACTCCTCACAGCACGTGTGGAATCCTGGTAGTCAGCAGTGCGAGATAACGGTCGTCATCCTGTCTCCCCACACATAAAGACAGCGCAGCACAGCAAAGAAAACGGCTACCGCGTCAACAAGCAGAGAGCAGGAGGCGAGAACGGCGATCCAGCAGTAACGGCCCTGACGCCTGTGACAGCTCGCCTGTGACAGCTCGCCTGTGACAGCTCGCCTGTGACAGCTCGCCTGTAACAGCACGGCAGCGTTGGCTAGTGAGAGAATGCGGGGAGCAATGCGAGAATCGCAGGAGAGAGTCGGAGTGATGGAAGATGACCCCACTTGGACCCAACACACTGGATGACTTTTGAGGCGCCTCAAAAATCACTTGGACGATGGAGTCGGAGTGATGGAAGATGGCCCCACTTGGACCAACACACTGGATGAGGGGCCTTCGTGTCGGTCGGCAAGTGTGTGACCGTCGTCATTCCCACTTCTTACACACAGCCACTTAAACCCTTCCGTGCAAACAAAGCGTCTCCGCTAGACAGGATAGCCAGGAAGCACAAGACGGCGAAGAGTAGGAACACCAGAAAAACGGGAGTGTGTCATGTTCCAAGTCTGCGAGGCATGCATCACTTGGAAGGGAGTGAGCGGCGGCGCAAGACAAGAGGGGGGTGAGGGGGAGCGAGTCAGAGTCAATGGATTACAGCCCCACTTGGACGCATCACAACAAGTGTGGCGGCCTCGAGAGTCGGTGCTTTGGCACAGCTGTCGTCACCCTCGCTCCCCTGCTTTCCAGCGGCGCCAACAAAGATGAGTCACACTCTTGCAACAGCCCGAAACCCTCAAACCGTACTCTCGACACGCTTTCAGCCTTATTCCCATGGTAGACATTCTACCACCCGGAAACCCTGAACCCTGGGAGTCTATTTCTGAGGCGCCTCAAAAATAGACTCCTCACGCCGGAAATCCTGAACCCTGGGCTCTCACCTGCAGAGCGTGCAGCTGCCCTGCAATATAGCTTGGTGGCCTCCTGGTGCTTGCATCTACGGCATTTTTAACACCCGAAACCCTGAAACCTGAACCTCCACCCTGTCAGCCCACCTGCAGCGCGTGCAGCTGCCCCAGCAGCATCCTGAGATTGGAGGCCTCCTGCTGCTTGTAGTCGACTTACAAACCAATATCCCGTGCCCTCAACCCGGCGAACCCAGACCCAGAAACCCCAACACGCTGACCCCACCTGCAGCGCGTGCAGCTGCCCCAGCAGCATCTTGAGGTTGGTGGCCTCCTGCTGCTTGCCCGCCTGCCCCGCCTTTCCCACCGCCTCCTCCACCATCCCCAGCACCAGGCTGTCCTCGCCGCTGCGCCTCATCACCGTCGCCAGGCCCTGGAACACACAGGGGGAACAGGAAGTAAGGGCCGCATGGACTGTCCCTTCCCCACAACTCGCTCCGCCTTGCCCAGCACCAGGCTGTCCTCGCCGCTGCGCCGCATCACCGTCGCCAGACCCTGCCCCGACAAGTGCAGACAAGAAGGGGGGGCGGGAAAGAGCGGGAGGAGAGCACCGTGGGAAGGAAGCGGCCAAAGGAAAGCGGAGTTCGGAGGCGTCAGAGGAGGATGGCAGGCGCGCGAGAAAAAAAAAAAAGAGCAGCACCTAGCAAATCATTACCTGCAGCGCGCGCGCGGAGAAGGGGTTGACTTTGAGGACATCCTGGAAGCCCTTCCTCGCGGCTTGCAGGGGTCGCCCACGAGTCAACGGCACCTGCACGACTCAACTGACTTGCGCGCACCATACCTGCAGCGCGCGCGCGGAGAAGGGGTCGACTTCGAGGATGTCCTGGAAGCCCTTGCGCGCCGCCTGCAGGTCACCCACAAACTCCTGCGCCTGCGCGCGGATGTACTTCCACTCCATGTCGTCCGGCTCTATCTGTTACGCGCAGTGGGAGAGGGGGGTTGGCGCGACGCAAGGGCAACAAGACACTCACTTCCACTCCATGTCGTCCGGCTCTATCTGCCGAGGGCGGACGGAGAGAAAGAACGACGGAACGGAGAAATGTGACGCACTTCCACTCGATAACGTCGGGCTCTATATGCCGCATACAGTGAGGGAGTGGGGGCGGGGGGGGGAAGGGGAGGAGCGAGACAAGAGATATTGAAAAAGAAATTTTACTCGGGATCGGCGGAATCTATCTGCAGAGGGCAAGAGGGGAGAAAGAAGACGAACGGAGTTGAGGCTACACAAAAGGTTCGGCGTACTTGCTTCGCTATTCTCAACTCGTTAATCCAGGTTCCAACACTGATCCGTTAGTTCAGGATCGCACCTCGATGAGTTGGTTGAGGATCTTGATGCCCCCCGCGAAGTCCGCGGATTTCATGCGCACGCGGAGCAGCATGCGCAGCGCCGTCACGTCCTTGGGGTGCTTCGCCAGGAAGTCCTCCAGCATCTTGATCGCGCGCTCCTGCTCCGCCGCCTGGTCGCGCGCGCTCTCCGCCACCTCCGCCTTCCCCGCCTCCGCTTTCCCACCCGCCTTGCCCCCGTCGGGGGTCTGCCGGCCCACGATCGGCGTGGGGGGCGGCGCGAGGTTCTTGCCGGCTTTGGCTTGCGCGGCTCGCGGGAGGCCGAAGGCTAGGCTGAGTGCGACGCACGTGCCCACGAGGAACGACGGGCCGTACCGTCGCACGCGTGCGACGAGCTGATTGGAAACGACGCGTTGAAATGCGTCGTCATCGTCGCATGAAACGGCATCAGGGTGCTCGGCGACGAAATCAGTGCCAGACGATGTCGCAGCTGATGTGGACTTATTTGATTGGCTGGAGGAGCTGAAAAGAGGATATGCCACGTTGTTCAACGGCCGCGCGCGTTCCTGAAAACCCGGAACCGAAGCCCCGTTGGTCGGACCGCTGTAGTCCGACGAAGATGGGTGTGATTCGCACGTGCAGCGGAGCCGCACAGATCCAGCGCCGATCGCGGCGGGAGCGGCGGCAACGGCGACGGATGGGCGAAGGCGGAGCTGCGAATCCGCTGTGAACAGCGACACTCGCGACGAAGTCCAGGCGGACGAGGGTGGGGCGGGGAACGCCATCATGGAGTGGCTTGATGGCCTGTCAGCGAGACGAAAGAGAAAGAGCCACTCTGAGCTATTGAGTCATGATCTGGGAGAAACGCCTCAAGATAAGGGGAGGAGTGAAGTGATGAGTATACCAAGGGGGGGTGGATGCATGTTAGGGCCAGCGATGACGATATGGGGGGCGACACAAGGGGAGAATGGTGGAAGGGGAGGGGCGCGGGGTTCTGGGGACGGTGATGGGACGAGTGGGATGGAGATAGACATGCTGAGATGGCGGGAAAAGCACACCAGGGTGACTCAGCATGTGCCAGCTCTGCCCAATCCCAGAAGTCCAAAATGCCAGATAACAAAAAGTACGTTTGTTAAGCGAATTCACATTCAGATTAATCAGGTGTAGAGAGAGAAACTCAAATTTGTCGAGCCTGACTGTAACGCAGAGGTCAAGATCTCCCGAGCGGGGCGGGGCTGGCGCCCATAACAACCAATCAGAGAGAACGCGACGTCCTTTTGCCAGAATCCATGTCAGCTCAGCACTACTGCGACCAGGTCAGGACCGTCAGATGCGGGCGCTCCAGTGGAGTGGCGAGGCACATCACTCGCTGAACACCTGCGACAGGCGGAAGCCATGAAGCGCACTGCTGACAAACCGCCATCTGTCGCCCACATCTCGCCACACCAATTACCAGCTTCGCGACACTTCGTGACAACAAATTGCCCCTTGTAGATTTCGCATTGGCCAGAGTGAGCCGTGGTGGTGGTGGCGCAGAAATCTGGCCTTCCTGATGCAGCATCCAGTGAACCATTCGCCCCAAGTGTACTGCATGTGCAGCTACTCTCAACTGCGCACCGAGCAGGGATTGGTGCAAGGAAAGGAAGCCCAGCCAAAGAAAAGTCTGGCCTTTTCCTCTCACGACGCCATTGCACTCTGCAAGATCGTCTCCCGAATAGGAGCAACTACCTCTGAGACGACCAGTTCCGGAGAGACGATTGAATTGCTCACCTGTTCAGCTGGTACTCGCGAATGGCGACACCTCGTCGTGGCAGCGGCGCGCTTTCCCAGGGGGCTGGGGGAGCTTCCCTCGGCGGCGACAAGCGGGGCGTTCATGCTCCGTCCGCCCCGTCGTTCGCGCCGGTCACTCCAGGCGCAGAAGAAGTTTCGGCGAAGCACCGCTCGCGCTTGACTGACTGCTCTCCTCGGCCCGCCGATGCCGCATCAGCCGTGCGGACACTGGCTGCGCGCGCGCACGCGGACGAGGACGAGGATGGGGGCAAAACTCGCGCATATGAGGAGGCGCAAGCGGAGAGGTCAAATTCCGCGCTGGGAGCTCCGGAGAGGCGGGGAACCCGCGCAGAGAGGGAGGCGGAGGAGCGGATGCGCGGGCAACTGGCGGATGCGCGGAAGATGGTCCGCGCGCTGGTGGGGGAACTGGCGGCGAGAGACGTCGAGGGGAATGATGACGTGGCATCGGGGGATGATGACGAGGATGAGGATGAGGATAACAGCGAACGAGGAGCGGAATTCGACCTGACCAAGGTAGGCCATGCTTGGCGATGAGCTTCGCGATGACCTTCGTGATGACCCATCGGAGTATTGACTGCCGCCCTTTCGTGCTCCCATCATGCGTCGTGTGACATTGTAACGAGGTGACCTTTGAGTCGACTCAAAGATCATGCATCCCTAACAGCGCCCAGACTTCCCAGGGTCTCCTTTCTGCCCCTAAGCTTCCTCCGTCATTCACGCCCTCTTCCACAACCCCAGGCGCTGCGACAGGAGCGGCGGGTGGTGCGGCTGAAGCAGCAGCTGGCGCGGACCAGGGCGGAGAGAGACTCGTTAAAGGCGGAGGCGCGGATGCAGAGATCGGAAAGGGAGGGGCGGGAGGAGGAAGCGCGCTTGGAGGGGGCAGCCGCACGTGATGCTGGGCTGCATGCCGACGCTGCTGGGCTAGGGGCCGAAGCTAAGAGGCTTGATGCCGAGGCTGCACGGCAGGAATGTCTGGAGGCTCGGGAAGCTCGTGAGGCTGAGGGCCGGAGCGTGAATGTTGTATTGAGGCAGCTGGTATCGAGGATGAAGGGAGCGGAGGAGGAAGTGAGGGTGGCGAGAGAAAGGATGAGTGGAGGGATGACGGAGAGGGGAGAGAGGAGGGGCAGTGGTGGTAGCAGTGGCACGGGAAGGGGCGAGAGGTGCACTGGCGGGACGAGTGCGAGCAGCGGCAACGCCAGCAGCGGTACGAGCAGCGAAAGCCATTGGGAAACAGCAGCAGCAGGAGTGGTTGGCGATGAGGGAGAGGGAGTGGGAGAGGGGGCTGAATGCGTGGCGGGCGAATGGCAGGCGTTGTTGGCTCGATTGGGCGGCGAGGAGATGCAAGAGGGTGTGGCCTGTGTGCTGAGGGACCTCCTGGGGGAGGTGCATGTGCTGGTGGCGGCAGCAGCAGCAGCGGGTGCAGGGAGCAGGCAGGGAGGGAGGGCTAACCAGCCGGCAATCAGCAGCGACCACCAGGCGAGCAGAAGTGAGCAGCAGATGACAGCAAGTGAGCCGCCGAAGAGCGCTGATGGCTGTTGCTGCGCGGGGAGCACAGCACTGGAGGATTTGCAGGCACAGGTGCTGCTGGCGCAGGGGGAGGTGTGTCTGGTGCAGGCGCAGCTGCAGCGGGTGGAGGAGGAGAGGCGGCGGGAGCGGGAGAGGCACCGCGCTGCTATGAGGCAGTTTGTGCGATTCGCTATGGAGGATAGGGAGAGGGAGAGGGGGAGGGTTGAGGGGGAGATGGGGCGAGAGAGGGGGAGTTGGAGGAGAGGAGGAGGAAGGAGGTGGGTGCGCTGGAGGAGGAAGTGGAGAGGGTGAGGAGGGAGGTGGAGCAGGCGAGGGAGGGGGAGAGAGAGAGGGTTCAGGAGGCGTGGGAGAGGGGGAGGAGGGAGGGATCAGCCGAAGCGGATTTTATGAGGCAGGTGATCCAGGAGGGGGAGAGGCGAGTGATAGAGCTCAAGGCGAGAGTGAGCCAGCTGGAGGGGGGGAAAGAGGAGGCTGAGAGGGAGAAGCGGGCATGGGAAGGGGAGCGGAGGAGGATGGAGGGGGAGATGAAGGGCGCGGAGGCCAGGATGAAAGCGCTAGAAGCTGCCTTGAGAGGGGCGCAGGGGGAAGCTGATGAGCACAAAGAGGCGAGGCGTGCGGTGGAGGGGGAGCGGCGCGCGCTGATGAAGGAGGTGGTGCGGTACAGGGAGAGGGCCAAGGGGCTGGAGAGGGCGGTGCGGGAGGTGAAGGGCGAGATGGCCCGCCAGGCAGCCGTGGCCACGGCTGTGTATGTCCGCCACATTGCAGCGCTGCAGGAGGGCATGCCTGCTGCTGCTGCCATCACTGCTGCTGCCCCTGCTGCTGCTGCCGCCCCTGCAGTTTCTGCTGCTCCTGCTGCCCGTGCACGTCCCTCCCAGTCCAGCAGCAGCGAGGGGTCGGAGCAAGGGGGTGGTGGGGCGCTTGTGGGGTGCTGCACGTGCTGCCATGGCAGTGAGAGTGCAGCGGAGCGACCGGGCAGACGTACCAGTAGCAGCAGTGAAGCGGGCTTGCCATGTCTCCTAAGCTTAGACAGCTGCAGGCACGGGGGGGACAAGGGGGCAGGGGCAGCGGGGGTTGTGGTAGAGAGTCGGTGGAGCGGGTGGAATGCAGCAGGGATGAAGAGCAGAGCATGTGAGGGCAGCATGCACCATGGGCTGGTGCAAGGGGGATGCAGGTGCGCAGGAGCAGGGGAGAGGCGGGAGCAGGAGCAGGTGGAGTGGGAGGAGAGCGGGCAGGAGTTCATGTCTCTCCTGGACGGTCTTCAGGATGAGTCTTGTGCTATCAGTCTGTGCTGAACTGCAGGGACTTGCGCATACTTATTATGACTGATTGGCCGATGGGTGCAGAGAACACCAAAAAAACTGGTATTGCTTTGTATGGGTCCAATGAGTACACATATTTGCTTTGACAATCTGGTGCTTATACAGAATAGTAAGCACGTATGGTATTTGCTCATCCTAAGCTTTAGGATCACAGCACTCCATCACAGCACTCCATCACAGCAGGTCCAGCAGAATATTGAACAGCATCTGCCTGGCACCCACGTGTCAGCGGGTCCCAGCAGGCAGTGATCAATGGACGCGGTATCCACGTCTCAGTAAACCCCCCCACACGCCTCTGTCAGGGCAGGTCCAGCAGAATGTTGAACAGCATCTGCGTGCACCCACGTGTCAGCGGGCCCCAGCAGGCAGTTGTGCAGGCATGTCCTATTGCACCCCCCATACGCCTGCATCACAGCAGGTCCAGCAATATATTGAACAGCATCTGCACCCACGTGTCAGCGGGCCCCGGCAGGCAGTAGTGCAGGCAGTCCGCGCGCCCATCCGCCAGCCGCACATGCCCGTCCGGCCTCAGCCCCGTGGCCGTATCCACGTCCCAGTACACGCCCCCATGCCGCTCCACCAGCCCCCGCGCCAGCTCGTTCTGCCGCCCAAAATCCCCCCAGTGGTATGGCAGCTGGGCGGCCTCTTGTCTGTATCTGAAGGGCTTGGAGTGGCGCTTGCAGTGGGCGTGGCCAGGGGGCGTGTTGCGGTAGACAATGAGGGTGTGGGGGGCAGCAGCGCGGATGGCAGCCAGGGTGACGTTCAGCTGTGATACAAACTGCTCGTCCTCTGTATAGTGTGCTCCACGGTTCAGTATTATCGCAGCAATGGGCTTCTCCGTAGTTGCTGGCTTAGGTTCCGATTCGCCCAGAGGGATTGTTTGATCGCCGCTCCTATTCGAAACATTCCCGTTGGTGGCAGCACCACTGTCAGCCGCACCAGCATTACCAGCAGCAGCATCCCCACCCCCTGTCCCCCCAGCAGCACCACTGCTCCCGTTGAGCACGTGCAGCCATGGAAAGCTGACGAGCTTCGGCCAAGCCAAGGTGAGCTTGGGGGAGGGGTCAAGGGCGTCGCTCCTCACGAAAGCCACACTCGCATCCGCGCATCTCTCCTCCGCGCACAACGCGTGCTGCGCGCGCATCGCTATCTCCCTCCCCCACCGCTCGCAGAACCCTGGCAGGCTGTCTGACGGAACGCAATCGGGCGGCAGGGCTCGTCGTTTCTGCACGAACGTGCTGTTGCGCCCCATGAACAGTGCGTTGCGCAGCGCGGCGAAGAGCATGGCGTTGAGCGAGTCGCCCACGATCAGCAGCCGCCGCCCCGCCAGCTTCCTCACGAGCTCACTACCGTCGAACTCCCGCCATGGCCCGCACCTGCCGCTCACGCGCCATCGGTACTTGAGACTCTGCCGCACTCTCCACTCATCCCGCTCCCTCTTTCCGCCCGCCTCTGCCCATCTTGCGGCCCCAGTCCGCCCGGTCCCGATTCCCCCGCGCGCCACGCTCTCAGTCCCCGCTGTTCCGTCCGCCTGCGCCATTCCTTCCGCTTCCGCTATTCTATCCGCCTCGCCGAACGCCACCGCCCCCCGCCCTGCGCCACGTGCCCCTCGTCGCACTGCCTCCCGCCGTCCCACCGGCTCGGCAGCGCCCACGGCAGGACACGTGGCGTCGCGTCGTACGTCCAGCGGCCTCGCGCCGTCATACAGCGGAGCCGCGAGCGGAAGGCTCTAACGGCGTCTCTCTTCAAAAGCGTGGAGCCCGGTATCCCTCCCGAGAAGGTCATCTCTTCACGATCGTCTTCGGCTGGTTCCGGAGTCGACTCGGCGTCAGAGGTGGGCTCGGCGTCAGGGGTGGGCTCGGCGTCAGGGGTGGGCTCGGCGTCAGGGGTGGACTCGGCTTGTCGCGTCGACGGCGAGGAATCTGGGATTGTCGCTCTGGCGACCGCTCGACCCCATGGCTCGTCACCCTGACGCTGTCCCGCGATTCCCTTGTCGAACGCGGGTTTGCGCGACCTCCCTTCCTGACGCGGTTCCTGCTGCCGTTGGATCGCTACTTTCACGGCCGCGTTTTGCAGATCGCGCGAAGGCTCGTCGAAACTAGGATGTTGTCGCCTCGCGCCGCGATTACTAATCTCCAGACTCGTCGCCTTTGCGGCGTGCGTGGTAGAGCCTAAGACGATCGTGTGGTCTGGTAGGACGAGCGGGAGGTAGTCGAAGTCGAAGTCCTGCCGGCACGTGTGGTAGACGAGGAGGAGGATGAAACCGACGACTGACGTCAGCAGGAACGAGTGTAGCGCGGTGCTGACGAGAATCCATGGTCGAGACGTGTAAGAGGGCCTAGACGTCGGAGAAGCGGGCTCGGCGCTAATACCTTTATCTGGTGATAACGTTGCGCACAGGCTCTCCTGGTCGTCCGGAATAGAAACCATCTCGCAAATGTCAAGGCTAACGCCACAACTCAAGCCCTTACTAGAGCTATAAAGAATAATTTTCACTTCCAGAGTAGCACAAACTCAGAGACGACATTGCCGTCGGCAACTCCAAGGCTCGTAGAGCCGACGACAATGCAGCGACGAAGGAATGGGGAGAAGAAAGGGCGAGTGAAGTGGCGCCAGAGCGAGGGGTGGAGAGCGAGAGTGAATTGTCGGCCCCAGCCGTCAGGCGGACGGCTGCCGTGGGGGTCCTGCTGACTGCAGGCGGGTTAGCGAAGCGACGCGGCCCGGTGGTGAAAGCAGTCGGGTGGGTCAGTGTCGGGTTGGAATGTTTTGATTGAAGGCGGGTGATTGGTGCTCCCCAACTCCCGCGCTTTTTCCCATGCCTGCTGACAAATTGATGTTTGGGTGTAACTTTTTCTCCGCTATAGTAAAAGAAATTTGACTACAACGTGAAATACTTCCCCACGATTTCAAATGGTATGCTTAACCAGGTAAACCTAATATTTCGAGCTGTTGAATGGTGCTATAGAACCTGGTATAATCTGTTCAGCATCCTGAAGATTATCGCAGCGTAGACTAGCCTCAGGCAGCACCACGGCCGTTTCCGACGCTGTGAACGACATGCATTGCGCCTGTGATAGTGGCGGCGCCATGCCGATGTAGTTCACGGAAAACGACCTGATACGTCAGAAGTCACTGTAGTTCCACAATCTCCGGAGCTGGGCCTAAAAGCAAGACTACTATTTCTGCTTCGAATAGAGAGGTTCCGCTTCCGCTGCTTCCGCTGCGTCCACCCTTCACTCCACCATATGACCCCTTCCATCCAATTGTCATAACAACCGTCCGACCATGGCAGCAGCAGCGGAGGAGTCCGACGCGCCGCGCTACGTCCTGATTCCACTGCACGGCACGGGCGAGGCGGTGGCGGTGGACGCGGAGCGGCTGCCGGCGGACCACGGCGACCTCGTCGACATTCTCAAGGGCGAGCAGGCGCCGCTGCACTGCTGGCTGCACCTCGCCGTGAGTGCGTAGCGACTCGCCTGATTCATTAGTCACCTGACCTGATTGCTGCACCTCGCCGTGAGTCCACAGCTTTGAGACGTCTCGAAACTGAACCATCACCGCTCGTCGACATTCCCAAGGGCGAGCAGGCGCCGCTGCACTGCTGGCTGCACCTCGCGGCAAGTGAAAGCCTCGTTCGTCCTGTCCTATTCAGGTGAATTCATAAGCGCCTGCACTGCTGCCTGGCTGCACCTCGCCGTGAGTCCATAGCGACTCCTGAATCGCCTCAATAGTCACCTGCTGGCTGCACCTGCTGGCTGCACCTGGTAGCTGCTGGTTGCACCTGGTGGGTGCAAAGCCTCCGCTCCTCCTATCCCAGTCATCTGATCAACCAGACTTCCCATAAATGTGTGACTGGCTGTCCATCAGCGGTTTCAAGACAGCTGGTCGCAACAAAACAAGAGCGCATGTGGCTCTTTTGTCAGCGTCGACTTCGCCTTTCCCTCCCTCGTGCGTGCGTGTGTGTGGCATGTACTCCGGGCGCTGGTCTGCTGGCGCCTGTCGCTCAGCGGGCGTACTTCAAGCAGGGCAACACAGCGGCGTTCCTGGAGATCCTCTCGGAAGGCACCTCGCCAGGTGAGCTTCGCCATTCCACCTCGTGCACGCACACATGCCTCAGGCGCTCGTCACACACTAACATGTGCCTTGGGTGTGAATGCAATGCACTCCGTGCTCCTGATCCCACGCATCAGCAGCACTCCGTGGATCAGTCTTCCTCGTCCTACTGCCGTCCACTCTCTCACGACATTCGTTCTCGCGTTCCCACCCACCCCTTGCTCTCCTCCACTGAAACTCTGTCACCCCCTTGCTCTGTCACCCCCTTGCTCTGTCACCCCCTTGCTCTGTCACCCCTTGCTCTGCCACCAGATGCGGAAAGAGTGTATGAGACCTCCCGCCCCGAGCGCATTGCCATGCTGAACGCCCTGGGCGCGTACTACACGGGGCTGGGCCGCGTGGCGCGGCGGCAGAAGCGCGACGAGGTGTTGATCAAGGTGGTGGACTTCTACAACAAGGCGGCCAGGATCAGCAGTGAAGAAGTGGCCACGTGGGTGGGCAAAGGTGCGCAGAGCAGGGTGGTGGGTCAGTGCGTGGGCAAGGAGGGGTGGAGGGGAGAAGGGGAATGTGTGAGGCGTGACGAGGTGCTGATCAAGGTGGTGGGCTTGTACATCAAGGCCGCCAGGATCAGTAGCGAGGAGGTCGCCACGTGGGTGGGCAAAGGTTGAGGAAAAAGGGGGGAGCTGGGAGGACACTGCGAGAGAGAAGATGGAGGAAAGAGGGGGGGGAAGTGGGTGGGGATGTCAGCTGGTTTCCCTGCGAGCTCTTCCCCGTCTCCTCCAAATCTGTCGTTTAGCACACCCCTATCTTCCACTGTGTCCAATAACCCCCCCCCCCCCCCCACAGGGCAGCTGCAGCTGGTGAAGGGCGAGCTGCACCAGGCAGAGGAGATGTTCTCCCTCGCCCTCGCTGGCGTCCCGGACTATGTGCCCGCGCTGCTGGGGAAGGTGGGTACTGCTGGGGAAGGTGGGTGCTGCTGGGGAAGGTGGGCGCTGCTGGGGAAGGTGGGCGCTGGTGCTGGGGAAGGTGTTAACTCCTGAGAAAGGTGGGTACTGCTAGGGAAGGTGGGTTCTGCTGGGAAGTTGGGGAGAAGAGGGGGAGACAATGGCAGTGGCTGGACTGGGGAGAAGTCTGGTTATTCCTTATGCTGCTGGTGCTCTCTCCGCCTGCACGTGTGGCCTTTAGCTCTTATGGTAGTGCAACCATCTGCCTGCTTACATTGCCATGTGTGTCGTGTTCTGTGCGGTACTGCTGCTGTGTGTGTGCTGCTGCTGTGTGCAGGCGTGCGTTCTCTTCCAGAAGGGCAAGTTCCAGGACGCCCTCAACCTCTACAAGGTGCCACCCGCCCTCCCGTAACTCCCTTCTTGCTTTCACTGCTCGAATCCCCTACGTCATCCTGGCATCTCTCCCCTCTCTTTCTCCCTGCTCTATCTCCCTACTCCAAGCATCCATATCTTCTCTTCCCTCTCACTCGTCTCCCCGCATCAGCAGCACATTGGGGCATCGGCCTCTCCCAACGGTGCCACTTCGGATGCGTTTCTACTTTAGAGGCGCCTCAAAAGTCCTCTGCTGATGCGTTTCAACTCTCCCGCTGCATCCCGTTCTCCTCCTCCCTCTCGTTTCCCCCCTCTCCTCTCCCCCTCCCCCGCGAGCAGAAGGTGCTGCAGATGCACCCTGGCTGCCCCGCGTCCGTGCGTCTGGGCATCGGTCTCTGCCATCTGCGCCTCTTCTCCTCCTCCGCCGCCCGCCAGCCCGCTGCCGCCCGCCGGGAGTTTCACCAGGCGAAGGCGCGGCAGGCACTGGAGAGGGTGCTGCAGTTGGAGCCGGGGAATGCAGACGCGCTCGTGGGGCTGGGGCTGCTGGACGTGAATTCTGATGACGGTATGCGCAGGAATAGAGAGGATGGGGCATGGGGCATGGGGCATGGGGCACGGGGCACGGGGCATGGGGCATGGGGCACGGGGCACGGGGCACGGGGCATGGGGCATGGGGCACGGGGCACGGGGCACGGGGCACGGGGCACGGGGCACGGGGCATGGGGCATGGGGCATGGGGCATGGGGCACGGGGCACGGGGCATGGGGCACGGGGCATGGGGGTTGGAAACAGGGACGGCGCTGGAGCGCGTGCTGCAGCTGGAACCGGGGAATGCAGACGCGCTCGTGGGGCTGGGACTGCTGGACGTCAACTCGGATGATGGTATGGCCCTTAGGGAGGCGCGACATGGGCCACGGGCCAGGGGTCAGTGCGTCGCTGGCTGACGTGGGAGATGCCACGCCCTCTCTGTTCTCCGCGCCTTACCACCTGTTCCCCCCCTTTTGCCGCTCCCCTTGCCCTCTCCTCCCCGTCCCTCCAGCCGCCACAGTGCGGCGGGGCGTGCAGCGCATGCTGGCGGCGTTCAACGCGTTCCCCTTCCACCCCGTGGCGCTCAACCAGCTCGCCAACCACTGCTTCCTCGCCGGGCCCGCCCTGCACGCCCTCGTCGACCCCCTCGCTGCTGTCGCCATCGCCAGCACCGAGCAGGCGCTGCCCAGGGCTGAGAGCTTCTACTGCCTGGCCAGGACGTACCACGCTCAGGTATGTTCTGCTCTGGTCAGTGCCTTGAGGTGTCCTCCCTGCTGCACCACCTGGTCGACACCCCTCACCGCCGTGGCTCTATCGAGTACCAAGCAGGCGCTGCACAGAGCTGAGAGCTACCATTGTTTGCCAAGCACCTGCCACGCTCAGGTACAATGTCATTTTCTTCTTCGCCTCCTGGACTCCCTCCCTTGCCCCCCCCCCCCCCCCCCTTCTCCGCCCTCTGCACTCTCAGCCCCGTCCTTCTTATCCCCCTCCCTGTTGTGTTCCTGTCTGCCTCAGGGTGACCGGAAGAAGGCCTTTGCCTACTACAAGGCAGCCACAGAGACTGTGCAGCCGGGGGAGTTTTCTCTGCCATACTACGGTGAGGCGAGGACCAATACCCACTGTAGTGAACATCCTATACCGCGCTCTGTTTACTGTGCTTGGCTGAGAACATGCTATAAAGCGCATAAAGCGTATTCCATCCCTTCCCTGGCGCCTCTCCCCTGAGTGTGTGCAGGGCTGGGGCAGATCCAGCTCAGCCTGGGGGACGCCAAGGCTGCTCTGGCCACACTGGAGAAGGTGCTGGCCGTGCACCCCACCAACAGTGATGCGCTCAAGGTCAGCTGCACTTCCCACCGCCTGCCACCGCCCGCCACCGCCCGTCACCGCCCACCACCTCCCGCCACCGCCCGCCACCGCCCGCCACGGCCCACCACCGCCCGCCACGGCCCACCACCGCCCGCCACGGCCCACCACCGCCCGCCACGGCCCACCACCGCCCGCCACGGCCCACCACCGCCATCACCGCCCACCGCCCCCCCTATACATGCAACCAAGTCTCCTAAACATACAACTGGCCCCTGCACCACTTTTCCCCCTCACTGTTCCCCCCCCTTCCCCCCCCACCCGTCGGCTGCCTTCCCCCACAACAACAACAACAGCTGGTGGGCGCCATTCACCTGCAGCAGGGGCGGCAGGACCAAGCCTTGACATGCTTCCGGAAAATCACCCAGCACTGCCCCTCCGACATGGATGTGAGTGCACCCAGCACTGCCCCTCCGACATGGATGTGAGTGCACCCAGCACTGCCCCTCCGACATGGATGTGAGTGCACCCAGCACTGGATCCATGTTTGAAATCCCCTTCATGTTCACTGTTCACTGAGTGGAAACTCAGAACCACTTTGTGCACGTATATGCAGACGTGGTCAAGGTAACGCAATTCTACCCTTTGACCCATGTATGCGAGAGTCACGGACTGGAAGCGCAATGTATGACGAACCCCTTCTTCTACGATTCCTCCAACTTTCTTCCACGCAAGCTGAAGCTAGCCCGCTCCATAGTTTCCCTCTCACCTTTGTTTCATCACCAAGCATCGTCTCACCTTTGTTTCATCACCAAGCATCGTCTCACCTTTGTTTCATCACCAAGCATCGTCTCACCTTTGTTTCATCACCAAGCATCGTCTCACCTTTGTTTCATCACCAAGCATCGTCTCACCTTTGTTTCATCACCAAGCATCGTCTCACCTTTGTTTCATCACCAAGCATCATCTCACCTTTGTTTCATCACCAAGCATCGTCTCACCTTTGTTTCATCACCAAGCATCGTGTCACCTTTGTTTCATCACCAAGCATCGTGTCACCTTTGTTTCATCACCAAGCATCATCTCACCTTTGTTTCATCACCAAGCATCGTCTCACCTTTGTTTCATCACCAAGCATCGTCTCACCTTTGTTTCATCACCAAGCATCGTCTCACCTTTGTTTCATCACCAAGCATCGTCTCACCTTTGTTTCATCACCAAGCATCGTCTCACCTTTGTTTCATCACCAAGCATCATCTCACCTTTGTTTCATCACCAAGCATCGTCTCACCTTTGTTTCATCACCAAGCATCGTCTCACCTTTGTTTCATCACCAAGCATCGTCTCACCTTTGTTTCATCACCAAGCATCGTCTCACCTTTGTTTCATCACCAAGCATCGTCTCACCTTTGTTTCATCACCAAGCATCGTCTCACCTTTGTTTCATCACCAAGCATCGTCTCACCTTTGTTTCATCACCAAGCATCGTCTCACCTTTGTTTCATCACCAAGCATCGTCTCACCTTTGTTTCATCACCAAGCATCGTCTCACCTTTGTTTCATCACCAAGCATCGTCTCACCTTTGTTTCATCACCAAGCATCGTCTCACCTTTGTTTCATCACCAAGCATCATCTCACCTTTGTTTCATCACCAAGCATCGTCTCACCTTTGTTTCATCACCAAGCATCGTCTCACCTTTGTTTCATCACCAAGCATCGTGTCACCTTTGTTTCATCACCAAGCATCATCTCACCTTTGTTTCATCACCAAGCATCGTCTCACCTTTGTTTCATCACCAAGCATCGTCTCACCTTTGTTTCATCACCAGGCATCGTCTCACCTTTGTTTCATCACCAAGCATCGTCTCACCTTTGTTTCATCACCAAGCATCGTCTCACCTTTGTTTCATCACCAAGCTTCGTCTCACCTTTGTTTCATCACCAAGCATCGTCTCACCTTTGTTTCATCACCAAGCATCGTCTCACCTTTGTTTCATCACCAAGCATCGTCTCACCTTTGTTTCATCACCAAGCATCGTCTCACCTTCCGCCCCTCCTTCCGCCCTGTTCCCCGACCTGCCCTCTCCCCGGTGCATGCGTGTGGTGGGCCATCAGGCGTGGCTGGAGGTGGGGGAGCTGCTCGTGTCCACGGACCTCACTGCGGCTCTCGAGTCCCTCAAGAAGGTGCGACCAGGGCAAGGCAGCACACAGCACAGCCCTGGCGGGACAGGCCAGGGTGGTGAAGAGTAGAGCACACACTATGGAGACACGCTCCCTCAGACCGGCATAGCGTCCGTGTCTGTGCAAGGCACATAGCACAAGGCACATAGCACAAGGCACATAGCACAAGGCACTTGTCTCTGCCTTATCTCACCACTTGCGCTCGTCAGATTTGTGTGGCTGAAGCCACCTCCAGGCGTGCAGGCATACGAGCGCATGGTGAAGGCAGCGGGCAAGGAGGGCAGGGCATGGTCTTGTGTGCCCCATGGCATCCCCATGCCCCTGGCTTTTGCGCGTATCACCTCACCGGCTTTGCCCTGGTTGCCTGTGTGTGTGTGCAGGCGTATGCGCCCGCGCTGAAGGCATTGGGAAAGGAGGGCGTGCCGTGGCCATGTGCGCCTCACCTCGTCCCCATGTCCCTGGCTTTCCCCCATCTCACCTCACCTGCGTTGCACTCCTTGCGTGCAGGCATACGAGCGCATGGTGAAGGCAGTGGGCAAGGAGGGTGTGCCGTGGCAGCTGGTCAACAACATTGCAGCGCTGCAGCATGAGAGGGGTGCGTACGAGGTGAGCTGCATGTGGGACGGTGAGCTGCACTCGTGCCATCGTCAGCACGGATTTCAAGCCGCCGTTGTCAGCCTGTGCTATAATACAGTTCTACCCGCTGCTGCTGCTGCTGCTGCTGCCACGCTCCATTCTTCTCTACCGCATACCCCTGCCATCCTCTGGCCTCGCTGCATTCCTCCCGTCTCTTGCCCTCGCACCGCTCCCCCGTCAGCTGCCCCTCCCCTTCATCACCGCGCCCTCACATTCCACTCTTCTCTTTTCTCCGTGTGCTGCGGCGATCCCCTCTATGTGCCCCTCGCGCATCAGGAGGCAGTGGAGGCGTACAAGGAAGCACTGGGCTCGCACGGGCCCTGGGCTGCCATCCTCCAGCCTGAGGGGGCAGGGGGGGCAGCAGGGGCAGGCGGCGGAAGCAGGGGGCTACCACTGCCAGTGGAGAGGGTGACGGTGGTGTTCAACCTCGCACTCTCCCTCGAACGCACCAGCCAGCTCACTCAGGCGGCGGCCCTTCACCGCCTCATTCTCTCGCAGGTGCCCCTTTCCTTCGTCTGTACTTTCTTCCCTTCCTTCCGTCTCCCTCAGGTGGCTCTCTGTCGGTTCTGATGTGCGCCTGTCAAGTCGGTGCTGGTCCTCAGTGGTCCTCAGTGGTCCTCCTTCACACGCTGTCATGCTTGCCATTGACAATCACGCATCTGTGTCAATGGAGCACGCATCACACGTGATGATGCTGTGGGCTGACACACCATCCTCATCCGCACTCCCCCCAACCCTCCCCAACCCTTTCACTGCAATCCCTCTCCCACATCCCCTCTCCCACATCCTCTGCCCCCAGTACCCCTCCTATCTGGACTGCCACCTGCGCCTGGCAGTCATGGCTCTGGACAGGCGTGACAACACTGCTGCCATGGCGCATGTGAGCGGGCGGTGTGGTTGGGTGGGGTGGGCAGTGGTTGTTCATATGATAAGCAATGATTGCATGTAGCACAAGGAGTACGTAACGCATGTGAGAGGTCCATGTGGTGGTGGGGGCTGTTACAGATGGGTGGTGGTGGTTGCTAGCCGTGGGGGTGGTGGTGGTTGCTGCCTCTCTTGGAGAGACATGGCAGGCAGGCGGAGGCAGCAATAGCTGTGCTGGATCGGGTGTGCTGCTTGCAGATACCATACCAGCAATGCCACCCGCAGCCCCAACTCTGTGATGCTCTCCATGCGTCTGTCAGCTGCTTCAACCACTTCTCCCCCCGCCTCTTCTTCCCCTCTCTTCTCCCACCGCCTCTTCTTCCCCTCTCTTCTCCCACCACCTCTTCTTCCCCTCTCTTCTCCCACCGCCTCTTCTTCCCCTGTCTCTTCCCCTCCCGCCTCTTCTTCTTCCCCTGTCTCTTCTCTCCCCCTGCCTCTTCTCTTCCGTCCCTTCCCCCATGCCTCTTTCCCCGCAGATATCAGAGGTGCTGTCCCTCGATGCCGACAACGTGGACGCGCTTCTGCTGCGCAGCCGGGCGGAGGCGGAGAGGGACGACCACGGCGCGGCCAAGGACACGCTCAAGCACATCGTGGACCTCTCGCCTGAGAAGTGCACGGCTGCCCTCGTTGCTCTGGTAGGCTGCTGTCTCGCAGTGACTCTGGGGAGCGACAGTCTGGTAGGAGAGTGATTGAGAGGCGCCCATGCTCTCATAGAGAGAGGGACGACCACGGCGCGGCCAAGGACTCTCTCAAGCACATCGTGGACCTCTCGCCGGAAAAGTGCACCGTTGCTCTTGTCGCGCTGGTGGGCTGCTATCAGCACTTTGGCCTCTGGTGGGTGGGTGGGTGGGTGGGTGGGTGGGTGCGTGCTCCCATGGCTTCTGTCATGGAGGGAGATAGACGGCTATGGCTCTGCCATGCCATGTCCATGCCCCACCACATTCTGTGCCTCTCTCCTGGGAGAAGCACCGCTACCCGCGTGACCCTGGCATGCGGTGTGACCTCAGATTCCCGTCTGCCTTTCCACCCCGCTTCCTTTTCCCTGTACTGGTCTGCCTGCTGCGGCTGCTCCCCGCCCATCTTTGCGTGCCTCTCACCTCTCCCATGGCGGATGCGCCATCCATTGCAGACTGACTCGTGACCAAGTGCCGGTGGCCACACGTGCCCGGGCTCCAGGACCTGAGGCATGCTTGCCCTGGACTGGACGTTCAACCTCAAACTCTTCTAAACCCTCCAAACCCAACCCCTTCCCTGCAGGGCAACTGGAATCTGAGCATGAGTGCGCGGCCCACTCGAGATACCAAGGCTGAGGCGTCCTTCCTTGAGAAGGCGAGGGAGATGTTCCACAAGGTGGGCCGGCGGGGTTGTTCCATTCGCTGCTTACCGTGCGTACCATTCTCAGTCAATCGTGCCTCACGGGGCAGCAGCATTTCGAGTCACCCTTGTTCTTGGGTCATTCCGGTGCAACCCTTTCTCGCATCCTTCTCTTTCTTCCCTCTTATTTCTTGCCTTTATGCTTTCTCTTCCCCTGTGCTGTCTGGCTCTCTCTGTTCTTCACCAGTAACCCGAAACAAACAAATCCCCTCAAGCAGCAGCAACATGTATGCAGGCAGCAGCAACATGTATGCAGGCAGTGCGGAGGGGTGCGTGCTGGCGGAGCGGGGCCTCTTCGATCTGGAGGCCAACACTGTCCCCCTCTCCCCGCCTCCTTTCCACCCCCAAACTCCCTTTCTCTCCCGCCCCTCCCATGCACCCCCTCAGGCCCTGTCGGGCAACAGCAGCAACATGTATGCGGCGAACGGGGTGGGGTGCGTGCTGGCGGAGCGCGGGCTGTTCGACCTGGCAAAGGACATCTTCACGCACGTGCAGGAGGCGGGCAGCGCGGCGGGCGCCACCGACCTGCCGGACGTGTGGATGAACCTCGCCAACGTGCACGTGGCCAAGGGGGACTGCGCGCTCGCTGTCAAGCTGGTGAGCCAGCAATATGTGCAATAGAGAGGTGGTCTACCCTGGCTAGTATGCACCTGGCTAAGGCTGACTGCGCCCTGCCTGTCAAGCTGGTGAGTGAGCTTTCCTGCTGTCCTGCTGTCCTGCTGTCCTGCTGTCCTGCGTCTTTGCTCCTGCACTTTCCAGCAGTGTGAATAGACACTGTCCCGCACTTACCAGCCTCTCCCTCCTCCCTCCCCAACAGTACGAAAAGACGCTCAAGCGCTTCTTTGCGAGCGGGGCAGTGGGGACAGGCGGGTCTGAGGGAACCCACCTGCGCGCCTTGTCCTACATGGCGCGTGCGCAGTACGACGCCGACCAGCTGGCGCAGTGCCGCCGCTCGCTGCTGCTGGCCATGCATGTGGCGCCGAGCAACGCCGCCCTGCGGTTTAACGTGGCGGTGGCACTGCAGAAGATGGCGGTCACCGTGCTGAAGCAGGAGAAGCGCACGGCGGAGCAGGTAGGGAGGGGCGGAATGATTTCGGGGTACGACCAGGGGAGCAGGTAGGGTGGGAGCAGAGGTTGTGGGGAGTGAGCAGGGTGCTTGTAGCGCTGCAGAAGATGGCGGAAGGGCTGAAGGGCTGCAGGGCGGAAGGGCGGAAGGGCTGCAGGGCGGAAGGGCGGAAGGGCTACAGGGCTGCAGGGCGGAAGGGTCACGGTGCTGAAGCAGGAGAAGAGGACGGCGGAGCAGGTGGGTTATGATGGAGAGAGGGGGGGTGTGATGGAGAGAGGAGGGGTGTGATGGCGAGAGGAGGGGTGTGATGGAGAGAGGAGGGGTGTGATGGAGAGAGGAGGGGTGTGATGGCGAGAGGAGGGGTGTGATGGCGAGAGGAGGGGTGTGATGGCGAGAGGAGGGGTGTGATGGCGAGAGGAGGGGTGTGATGGCGAGAGGAGGGGTGCGATGGCGAGAGGAGGGGTGCGATGGCGAGAGGAGGGGTGCGATGGCGAGAGGAGGGGTGGGATGGCGAGAGGAGGGGTGCGATGGCGAGAGGAGGGGTGCGATGGCGAGAGGAGGGGTGCAATGGCGAGAGGAGGGGTGTGATGGCGAGAGGAGGGGTGTGATGGCGAGAGGAGGGGTGTGATGGCGAGAGGAGGGGTGTGATGGCGAGAGGAGGGGTGTGATGGCGAGAGGAGGGGTGTGATGGCGAGAGAAGGTAGGTTCTGCCACCCTCCCATGCACCTCTGCCACCCTCCCATTACTCTGAACCCTGCCCGTGCTGTGCTTGCCTTCCTCCTTCAGATTCGCAAGGTGGTCTCGGATCTAAAGACGGCCCTCCGCCTCTTCTCTCAGGTGCTCTTACTGATACCACACCCGTACTTGTGCTCTTGTTGCATGTATGTCGCGCCCAACAGTGTCTCACTGTCATGCGTTTTGATCTCAAGGTGACCCCGCTCCGCTCTTGAAGCTCCCCGCTTTCTGCAGTCTGCGTTCGTAGCCACATGTATTGTGTCCATTCACCACATGTATTGTGCCCATTCACCACATGTACTGATGCAAGCATGCAATTTAATTCATGATGGCATATGTGCACCTGCACCTGCATGTGTATGTGTCACTGCGTGTGTCGCAGCTAGCAGCAAGGGGGGTGCAGGGAGCGCAGGGAGGCCTTGACAGGAAGAAGGCCAACTCGCACCTCGAATACTGCCAGGTGATTGCAACAAGCAACGTGGTATTGAGCGCCGCCAGGTGATTGCCAATCAGTGAGTAGTACATTCTTTGTTCCTCACTCCTGCTGTGTGAATCTTTCAAAGCTGATCTCCCTGTTGACTTTCCGTATGCTTTGTAAATTCCTCAAAGCGTCTTTTCAATCTATGATCATGCTCCTCAACATGTGTGAATGCCTTGGCATGTGTTCCTTGGACCATCACCATCATCACCATCACCACCATCACCATCACCACCAGCATGTGCTCGGGTCGGCCAAGCAGCACCTGGAGGTGGCGGAGAGGGAGGAGCAGCAGCGCAAGGTCAGCTCGCTCTCTCTCATTTCACTTGCTGCCCCTCTCCCTCTCTCTCATTTCACTTGCTGCCCCTCTCCCTCTCTCTCATTTCACTTGCTACCCCTCTGGCTGTCTCTCATTTCACTTGCTGCCCCTCTGCCTGTCTCTCATTTCTCTTGCCGCCGCTCTCTTGCATTCCTCCCTCTCATTACCCCATATCTCATCCTCTAAAACCCTTATAGCGTTCACCCAATCCCATGACCAACCCCTCTCTCATCACTTCTCTCATCCCCGCTCTCCCTCATTCCTCCCTCTCTCATACCCCATGCCTCTTCCCTCCTGTAGCATTCCCACCCCTCTCATTCTCCGCTCTCTCATTCTCCCTCTCACGTTTCTCTCTCTTTCACCTTCCCTGCTCTCACTTTTCCGCGACTCCCCCATCCCCCCTCCCCGCTGCACCGCACTGCACCCTAAACCCACCCCTTCCTTCCTGCCATCTCCAACCAGCACTGCCATACCATACCATTCCCCCTACGCGCCTTTCTCCCATCCACCTGAGGCAACAGCAGGAGGCTGGAGCTTTGAGAACCTCAATTTCGAGCCCCCACCTCCCTGTACTCCCCCTCTCACCTGTTCACCACCTGTGCAGCAACGGCTGGAGGCAGAGCGGCAGGTGGCAGAGGTGGAGGCAACGAAGAAGAGAGCAGAGGAAGATAAACTCATGGAGGTAAGAAGAGGTGCGGCGCGTGCTGATGGGGTTAGGATGGGTGCTCACAGTAAGTTTTGATGTGTGGAGGGAAGTATGGGTGGGTGATGGAAAGAGACCCTTCCGTATCCTTTTTTTATTTGCCCTCACTCCTGCCTCCCGTGCGTCACAACACAACAGGTGGAGCGCCAGAGGAGGGACGAGGAGGAGAGGCGGCTGCTGCAGCAGGAGGAAGAGATCAAGCGCCGCGTGGTGCGTATGTATGGCGCTCAATGTGTATGTATGGCGCTCAATGCGTATGTACGGCGCTCAATGCGTATGTACGGCGCTCAATGCGTTTGTATGGCGCTCAATGCGCATGTATGGCGCTCAATGTCCTCTATGTGCTCAATGCGCTCAATTGGCTCGATTGCAAATCTTGTGAGCAACAGCTGCTACAGCACGAGTGAGAAATCCTAAAAGGCCTCTGGTGGGTCTTTTCGGATTAGTGCTGTTTTTAGGGCTCGAGGTTCCTCCTTTTGAGTCGACTCAAAAGTCACCTCTGGTGGGTCTTTTCGGATTAGTGCTGTTTTTAGGGCTCGAGGTTCCTCCTTTTGAGTCGACTCAAAAGCCACCTCTGGTGGGTCTTTTCGGATTAGTGCTGTTTTTAGGGCTCGAGGTTCCTCCTTTTGAGTCGACTCAAAAGTCACCTCTGGTGGGTCTTTTCGGATTATTGCTGTTTTTAGGGCTCGAGGTTCCTCCTTTTGAGTCGACTCAAAAGTCACCTCTGGTGGGTCTTTTCGGATAAGTGCTGTTTTTAGGGCTCGAGGTTCCTCCTTTTGAGTTGACTCAAAGTCACCTCTGGTGGGTCTTTTCGGATTAGTGCTGTTTTTAGGGCTCGAGGTTCCTCCTCTCCCCTTGTGCGAGCCCTCTCTTGACTGCCATGCTCTTGCTCCCTTGGCCCACCCACCTTGCCGCTGCAGGAGATGTGGAAGCGCAACGACCGACCCAAGCCCGTGGACGACGACGACGAGGGCGGGGATCACGGCCGCGGGGAGGGGAGGAGCCGCAAAGACAGGGAGAAGGAGAGGCGCAAGGAGAAGAAACGGGACAAGCACCGGGATAGGGACAGGGACAGGGATAGGTCTCGGGAGAGGGAGGAGGATGGGGATAGGAAGGAGAGGCGGAAGGACAAGAAGCGCAAGAAGAAGAAGAAGCACCGGGAGGCAAGGGACGATGACAGGGAGGATGGGGCGGGGTGGGGCAGTGACCGTGGCAACAGGAGCGATAGGGAGGAGAGGGACGAGGGGGAGAACCCGTGGGTTGACAACGAGAGGGGGGAGGGTTCGGACGGGGAGAGGGGGGAGAAGGAGGCGGGGGGCGCAGCAGGGAACGGTGCGGGGGATGATGCCCTGGCTGCTGCTGGGCTTGTGGATGATGAGGATGAAGGGGGAGGGCACGCCAGGGGAGATGACGACGAGCGGGTGAGTGCCATTCCCGTCTCCTGGTGCATTTTGCTCTTCCCTTGGCCGTGTGCACGGTCCTGAAAATGTGCGTCCGAAAAAAATATGCTGGCCGAAACCATCTCCACATCTGTAACTCCCTCCCTCCAATGCAGGGAGCTCCCTCTCGCAAGCGGCGTCGCCAGCTGGCAGATTCAGACGAGGAGGATGCTGCCGCACCTGCCAGCAGTCCACATGATGCCACGGAGGCACCCCAGTCCCACCCACACTGACGATGCAGAAGCAATGCATGAAGGGTGAAGAAGAGGCACAGCACAATGCAAGCAAACTTGTAGTTAGGAAAAAACGATTAAGGTTCGCATGCATGAAGCACTGTAATAACGGTTTCTTTTGGAAATCATAAAATTCCCCCGTCAATAGACCCATTTATGGCTAACTGCATGATATTCTCGAGAATGAGCTTGTGATTTATGCATGTGATATATGTACGATGTAGCATAACTGCGATGTCGCAGATGTTGCATGGAGAGTTCTAACATTGGTTTCGGTCGTGATTTGCTCCTGTTGGGCTGAGAAAAACCCTTTAGGATCTTTTGCAGAGACTAAGTCCCAGCTGTAAAGACTTGAGACTTGGAGTAGTGCAGCGGAAGTTGAGACAGTTGAACCCTTGTACTAGTATGTGAGAACAAGTGATTGATTAAAGAAACAAGCATACAGCAATATATAGAAGATAAGAAAGCAGTTGCAGAGTACAGTTACAGGAACGGTTTATCGAGTCGCATAGCGACTCGATTGCCGCTTCGGTTACCATCCGTGATGCTGTAACGGTCAGTCGCAACCTCCAGTTGCGACCCTTTGAGTCCCAGACCCTTCGTGTTCTTTGTCCGCCCCCTCGTGTAACCTCCGTTGACTCGCGTACCCCTTGCAATCTTCCTCGAGTGTAGTGTTACACTTCAGAAACGCTTAAGTCTTTTGATGTACTTTCAACACTCCCCTTCGTTTCTGGAGTGCTGACTTGTTCAGGTCCGATGACGTTTGTTTGTCCGGTCAGCACCATGCAGTAGTCGAATTTTGCCTTCGCCAATTTCTTCGTCAAATAGTCTGCGGCCATTTCTGTCGTCGGGCAGTAACTGAGTTGAAGTCTCCCCTTCGCGATTTCATCCTTGACGAAGAAGTACCGCAGGGCGATGTGCTTGGTTCGGTTGGCGAAGCCGTCCTTGTTTGCGATTTTGATCGCAGATTGGTTGTCGCAGAAGAGTGAGAAGGCGGGCAGGGTCGCGATCTTCGCTTCCTCGAGTAACTCTCGCAGGTAGAGTCCTTCCTTGGTCGCGGTACAAAGGGCGATGTACTCTGCTTCAGCAGAGGATAGTGCGATTAACTCCTGCTTGCTCGACTGCCAGGAGATAGTTCCGATGGGTTCTAGTCGGTAGATGTAGCCCGTCCTAGATCGTCGATTTTCCCTATCTCCCGCGTGGTCGGCGTCGACGTATCCGAGTAGTTGTACGGACGATGTTGTAGCTTTGCTGTAGGTAAGTCCGATCGTCGGCGTGGAGATGAAGTAGAGTAGTGCCCGGTTGAGCTCCTCGAGATCCTCCTGTTCCGGTTGCTTCAGATGCGTCGCCAGTTGACTTGCACTATAGGACAGGTCGGGTCGGCAGGTTACTGCTGCAAATAGTAGGCAGCCGAGCTTCTGTTGATACTCCTGGATTTGCTTCGCGGGGAGTTTTGCGGAGGCGCTGTTGTTGTTTCCGTAGCGGTAGGGAGTTGAGGCGGTAGCCGGTGTTAGTCCGAATTTCTTCGCGACAGTGCCTGCGTACTTTCCAGCGTGTAGGTAGAACGCCGAGTTGTCTTCGACGATATTTAGCCCCAAGTACTGGGTCACTGAGTCGGACACTGTGAGCGTCAGGTCCCCTTTCAGCTCCCCTTCGAACCGGGTGACGATGTCGGTGGTAGAACCGATGTAGAGCAGGTCGTCGACGTAGACGATGAGCAGAATGTAATCTCTTCCCTTCTGCAGTCGGTACATGCCTTGGTCATGTGGTAGCTGTAGGAAGCCGATTTTTACGAGACGGCTGTGAAGATGCTGCTGCCAGAGCCGCGGGGCTTGCTTGATCCCGTATAGGGATTTTGTCAGTCGGCATATTTTCGTGGGGTCGTCGATGAATCCGTGGGGTTGTTCGACGAAGATCTCAGCGTCCACAGGTGCGTATAGGAACGCATTCGCGACATCGATTTGGCGTAGTGGTAGTGTTTTCGTGGCCGCGACGGCGAGTAGGATGCGTAATGAGGTGTGACGGGAGACTGGAGCGAAGGTTTCTGTGTAGTCGGTTCCGTATCGTTGATCGAAGCCTCGTACGACCCATCGAGCTTTGAATCGTTCGATGGAGCCGTCTGAGTTGGTCTTGATGCGGTACACCCATTTCCCCGAGAGAACGTTCTTCCCGTTGATGCTCGTTGCAGGTACCAGTTTCCATGTTTCTCGGTCTTGCAGAGCTTTTAACTCCTTTTCCATTGCTTCCTTCCATTTTACCTTATGTTCCCCCCCCAGAGCCTGCGACAAGGTTGAAGGCTCACGCGCAGAAGGCGGCGGCGGATGCTGGACGGAGACCCAGAGGCCTAGAATCTGGAGTCCCGTTGGTGTGTGTCGAGGGGAATTGTCATTCCCGGAATAAGCTGCTTCGTCACCGTCTTCGGGGTCAGGTAAGGAATTGGGGCCGATGCGTTCCGAAATATTCGTGTCGACGGGGTGAGGTGTAGCGTAACCTTGGTCGGCGAAGTGGTAAAAGGTGTCGAGGTTGTTGCTATCGAGGGGATTATCTTCATCGAGTGGAACAGGTACGGAACAGAATGGGAGTGGCCCGGCAGCTTCCGAGGCTCCAGGTACGTCTTCTTCTGCTGCGTCAGCTTCGGCAGCACGATCGGCAAAGGAACGAAGTCCCGAGAGGCCGTCGGTGGGGTCTTGTGTGTTGGCAAGGTTGTCCAGGTAATGCTGCAGAGTCAGTCGTTCGTAGAAGATAACGTCTCGTGATGCCACCGTGTTTTTGTCTTGTATGTCGAGAATTTTCCACGCGTGAAAATGTTTCGCGATGCCGAGGTGGAGTCCCCACCGAGCTCGTTGTGTGAAGCGTCCTGCTCGGGCTGTGTGGGGTCTGTACTGTACCATGCAGCCAAAGACTCTGAGTAATTTTGTGCTGCCCCTTTTTCTTGTCCACAGCAGGTGCGGTGATGCGTTGTTGGGAAGTGATGACGAGGACAGCAGGTTGTGCAGGTGAACAGCATGTGTCATCGCGTCTGGCCACAGTGTGGTTGGCAGTCGCATCCCCTGAAGCAGTTTTCGCAGCGTCGTCTGCAAGGTCCGATTCATGCGTTCTGCTACCCCCTGCTGTTGGTGAGCATAGGGCAGGGACACCAGGCGTCTGATTCCCCTTTCCGCCAGATAGGTCCTGAAGCGTTGTGACTGGTATTCCAGTGCACCGTCTGACTGGAAGCTCTTGAGTTTGAGTCCTGATTCTCGTTCGGCGATGGGGAGCCATGTTGTGAAGGCTTCGAAGGCTTGGTCGCGCGTTTTGAGATTGAAGTGCCAGACATATCTGGTTGCGGCGTCGATGAAAGTGATGACGTAGTTAAAGTCGGCTTCTGCGTCGTCTCGAGGCATGTTTAAAATATCGCTGTAGACTTTTTCCATCGGAGCGTAAGTAGGTGCGCTTGGGTTGTGATGGGATGAAAAAGGTTGATGAGGAAGATCTGCTTCGGGGCATGTGAAGCACCGTGCGCGTGGTCGTCGAAGTTCTTGACCGCTCGTCGTCAGAAGGGCGTTGCGTTCTAACACCTCTGCTTGGATTGTTTGAAGTATTGTGCTGTTTGCAGGGTGTCCGAGGCGTTGGTGCCAGATGTCGTCGGGAGCACGGTGACCGGGCGAGCGGTGGTAGATGTCGGCGTTGGAGAAGAACGCGACGACCGAGGCGGGACTTCGACAAGCTTCTCGTGTGGCGGGCATAAGTTGGTCTGCTTCCGTTGGCGGTCCTCGTGTTGATGGTGGTGGTACTCGGCTGGGTCCTGCTGCCGATACTGCAGGTGATGGTTTTGTTGGGACACTTGCGGGTACTTGTCTTTCTTGTCTGATAACTGCTAATGCTCGTGTTCTCTCTGCTGCAGGTATGGTGTTGGAGTGCCAGAAGCCGTCACTGTCGAAGTCGGGATGAAGATCCGGCGGGTGAGTCCAGGCGGCGAACGATACGATACCGTCGCTGTCGGCAGTGCCGCGGTCGGGGACGAAGTCCAACACGAAGACGCCGGACTTCAAGAGGGCACGACCGATGAAGAGGCCGCCCTTCCCGTGGTAAAGCCGGAACTCGTTGGAGTAAGAGTCGCACTCCAGGTGAATCCCTTTGGCCATTAGTTGGCTTACGCTCAGTAGATTGTATCCCAGGTTGTCGACAATGAGCACTTTGTTGAGCTGCAGTATTACGTTTGTTTCCATGGATTGTAGCTGAACCACGCCTTGTCTGTTTGTCTTCAGGTTTTCGTTGTTGGCGACTGTGATGACGACGTCGCGGTTGAGTCGTTTCTCCTGTTGCACGAAGCGTCCCGAGGAGCACATGTGTTGACCGCAGCAGCTGTCCAAGAACCAGGTGTTTCGCCCGGTGGGTTCGGCGTTGGCGACTGCAGCGTATGTCGGGTTAACCTGAAGTCCTTGCGAGCGCGGTGGCGGGAATTCCTCTTCGTCTGGTGCGTAAGTGGGTGGTGAACCGGGTGCGCAGTTGTCGATGTGTACCATGCAGTTGATGATGTTGGGTGTTTGTTGTGCAGATGTTGAAGAGCGCCTTGGAGGACTTGCTTGAGTGGAAGCGACTTGTGGGTCTGCTGCACGGTAAACGCGAGGGCGGTTGCAGTTGACTTTGGAGTGCCCGGAAGTCTGGCAGTTGTGGCAGAATGGCGGTACGATGGTGAGTCCTCGGTTGTCGCGTTGATCTTGCTTGCTGCGTCGGTTGTAGTTGTTGTCATTTCTTCTTTGAGTGTAGAAGACTAACTGCTGTTGCTTCCTTGGTTGTCTTTCCTCGAACAGATCCATCTCCTGTTGTTCAGCGTGAAGCTCGGCGCAGAGGTGCATCTCCGAGATTCTTCCGTGGGCTCGAAGAAGTGATCGTATGGTTCTCCATTCTGGCCCGAGCCCGGCGAGGACAAGTGTCACGAAGCTTTCTTCAGTGATTGTTCCTCCGCACCGAAGCAGGCGGTCGCGGAGGGTCTGGCAGCGACTCATATACTGCATCGCCTTTTCCCCGGTCTTCATTTGTATTGTTGTCAGCTGTTGCATGAGTCTGCTTTGTGTCACGCTGTCGTTTGCTTGGTAAAGGCACTTGAGGTGGTGCCATGCGAGCTCCGCGGAGTTTCCATAACTCCGGTACGTTCTGATGCTCTGCTGCTCTTGTGGTGACAGGTTTCTCAGGAGTACCGTGTACGCCAGCAGCGACTGATATGTGAAGATCTCTTGTTCCTTCCCAGTGCCGTTGCTTGGGAATGGCAGGGACCCGTTGAAGTATCCCAGAAGATGCGCGGCCTCCATCAGCAGCTCGAACTCGAAGCTCCAGGTAAAGAAGTCGTGTCCGTTGAACGGTGAGGATGTCTGAAGTTTGATCACGTGTGAGAACTGCGCCTGTAAACTTAAGATTTCATTCGGTGTTTGTTGTGATGCAGCTGCTGTTGGCTGGGCACGGGGCGGCATGAATTCGAACGTCCCCGGCGAAGAATGATAAGGCGCAAAGGTAGGCGCTTGGTTGTGTCGCCCGAAGGATGAGTTGTCGAGGCTCATCGGCGCTAATCCCATATTCCCTCCATTGCTCTGTGTTGAGTGCGCAGGTGTCCTTGTCTGCTGCAGCTGGTCGAAGTGTGACATGAAGCTGAAGAATCTCTCCATGAGATTCGGGTCCACACTTGAAGAGGGAGACGGAGTCACCATCTCTGGTACTCTTCCCGTTGTTTCTTGAGCAGTCCCGGTCTCTGTCTGCAGTCCTGAGGTGTGCAGACCAGAGTTGCCGTGTTGAGTTTCTTGGGCGCTGGGTGAGCCCGTAGAGACTTTCTTGCCCTTGTTGTCCATGTCTTGCAATCAATGAAGTCGTTGAATTGAGTTGAGTTGCAGGCTGTTGATAGAACGTAGTTGCTGGGAGTTTGGTCTCTGACCAGCTCTCATACCATGTTGGGCTGAGAAAAACCCTTTAGGATCTTTTGCAGAGACTAAGTCCCAGCTGTAAAGACTTGAGACTTGGAGTAGTGCAGCGGAAGTTGAGACAGTTGAACCCTTGTACTAGTATGTGAGAACAAGTGATTGATTAAAGAAACAAGCATACAGCAATATATAGAAGATAAGAAAGCAGTTGCAGAGTACAGTTACAGGAACGGTTTATCGAGTCGCATAGCGACTCGATTGCCGCTTCGGTTACCATCCGTGATGCTGTAACGGTCAGTCGCAACCTCCAGTTGCGACCCTTTGAGTCCCAGACCCTTCGTGTTCTTTGTCCGCCCCCTCGTGTAACCTCCGTTGACTCGCGTACCCCTTGCAATCTTCCTCGAGTGTAGTGTTACACTTCAGAAACGCTTAAGTCTTTTGATGTACTTTCAACATTACATAACACCCTCCTCGTTTTATGCAGCAAGAACAGTATTTCGTAGTTTTTCTAGCTCAGCTCGATTGAGAAAAAAAACGATCAGGATGAAAAAATGCAATGTCAACTACCATTAGCAGCGAAAAAACAGGCAGAAACATCAACACAAGTTGCAGCGCGAAATGGAAATGTCAGCAAAGGTCGAGACTCGGGAGGATTTCGACCGTCGAATTCGCGGATTCTGTTGAGATTGGACGGTCAGAATCCTCCCGAGCGAAATCCTCCCGTCGAAGTCGCGGATTCTGTCGCGATCATGACGGTCGCAGGTGCCGCACAAACCTGGCCCTGACTATAGCACTCAGCAGGGATTGGCCAACGACGATTGGTTTGTGAATTTCGTCGTAGCGGATGCTGTACCTCGCTAACAGTCGCTCCGCGCATTTTGAACACACATGGCCTAAAACACTCAAATTAAAATTGCATTTTACATAACACATGGGCACTATATTTTTCCGGGCCACTGTTAACACCCACTCATTTTTTAGTGAATTTTTATATACACCATATGGTGTTATATACGGGGGATTACGGTACCATGATTCATCAGCTTTTCGTCAAGAAAATTTACGTGGATTCATCAGAGTTTCCTAGCAAAAAATGCCTTTTCACTAGGGCGTGTTAAAAAAAAAACTGATTTGGCAACTAGGAGAGAGGATTTCAGTTTTGTTTTTTGAAGTTGCATTCGACTAAGAGTAAATTCCGCATTCTAATAACAGTCGTTCCTATTAGGCGAAATTCTCGACAGCTGCCCGTTTGGTCACTGAAATTCTATAAAAATGTGACGGTCACGATCGATTGCGATCGTTTCGACGTTTTTTAACCATTCGATGGTTGCAAGTGATAAACGTCCAGATCGATCAACCGGGGCGCGATCCTCTCCCCTCCCCCCTCCATTTTCGAACCCACCCCCCCCCCCCTCCCCCTCCGTTTCGCTTCCCCCCTCCCCTCCGTTTCGCTTCCACGCCTCCCCTCCGTTTCGAAAACCCCCCCCCCCCCCCCCTCCCCTCCGTTTCGTTCCCCCCTCCCCTCCGTTTCGCTTCACCCCTTCCCTCGGTTTTGATTCCCTCCCCCTTTCCCCCTCGAATTCGATTCCCCCTCCCCTCCTTTTCGAATTCTCCCCCTCAGGGCCTGTTCGTACACGATACACCGTCACGACACTTTGTATCAAAATTGTTATTGACGGGCAAATTTGACTGCAAATCAGCAATGACACGAAGTTGCCTGAAAGTGTCGTGTTGGAAAACAACACTCCCTCAATTGAGCCGTGGACTGTGATTTTTTAGAGTTAGTTTCACATCGTCTGAGAAATCAGAAAAAAAAAATATAAAAAAATCGCCAGCCAGATGAATGATTTTCTAGTTACCCCTTTTAGGAACTTCACAAAAGTTGGGTAATAAGTAGGATTGCGGATTGCGGGGGTTTGTGGGAGGATTTTTTTATGGCTGCAAGGGACTTCGACGATTTTTCCGGGTTGCGGGAGCTGAGGGAGGGATATTTCTTGCTGTGGGGACTTAGCCGAAATTTCAGGGTCGCAAGAGGTGTGGGAGGGATGTGTCTGTCTGTGGGACTTGGTCGAATTTCTGGGGCTGCGAGGCGAGTAGGAAGAAATGTGATGGGGGAACTATCTCTGGCTGCTAGGACTTAGCCGGATTTTTTAGGTTGCGGGGCGGGGTGTGTGTGAAAGGACTTGACTCTGGCCCTTGGGGACTTAGACGAAATTTTGGGTGAGGGCAGGGAGGTGCAGTACTAGTATGTGTGTCTCAGGGTCCGTATGCGCTGCGCTCTGAAAACTCAGTATCCGCAAACTGCGAAGTCTGAGATTCTCAGGATTCAAAAACATATAAGTCTGAAGGGTTCAGCATTCAGAAAATGGCAAGTCTGAAAAATCAGGATCGGCAAAAAAATAGGTCTGAAATTTCAGACAATCAGACTAAAATAGTATGATAAAATCAGCCCTGGTTGCGACATTTTGAAACATAGCACGAGGGCCACGCCACGACGCACCAAGCACCTCCACGACTTCGGCGGAACATGGTGCGACAAGGACCGAGGTCGCACAACTTACCGGTAATCAAAATTGGTTCTGTGCGGCCTCAACCTCGAACCCATCGTTCAAGAGCTCCATGGGTGTGCTTCACGTTTCTTAAGAGGAGATTATGTCATCGTCACACAAGCTTAGGAACCCATAGCCGCCACAGCACAGGACAAAAACCAAAACCGCCCTGCGCATCGACAACCAACCCTCACGCGGACGGGGAGAAGCTTTTAAAAATCACAGGTGACCAAAGCATGCGTCGTACCGCCATGCGAAAAGGGACGAGCTAAACGCGGCTGAGACGAGCCCGGGAAGCCGTCGTTTACGACGCGAATCTAGGGTAAGACCCGCCAGTAGGAACCGGCGCGAAACGCATGAATATAGTCGGAGTTAAATAGCATGGGCCACAAGGAGAGGGGGCCGCGGATAGCAAGGAGATCGGGGAGCGCATTGCAAGTGTAATAATTTGACAGGTGTTGCAGGAGACTAAGTGTAGAATCTGCAAACACGAACACTTGGAAAATCTCAAGTGTTAGCCTAGGATCTTTGCTGGAATGGTAGACTAGTAAGACAGCGGAAGTCTTGTAAGAATGAACCTGAGTATATATTTCTGTGGAAGTCAAGTCTCAAAGCTCTCAAAGTTGAAATCTCAAGGTTAATAATAAAAGGACAGAAGAAAGATTTATAGCTCTAGGAAAGTGTTCGCTAATGTACTTGTTCGTCACTATCGCGCTATGCGCCCTAAATGATAATGAAGAGGTGCGACTATTCGCATGACTGAAACGATGTCCTATGACGAGCGCTATTTGCTAACGTCATCCTACGGACTTATCTTCTACAGTAAGGTGCGACACTATCTATCGATAAACAGCTTACAAAAATGCTAAGTATGAAATATACCACAACACTCCACTTCATTTCTGGAAGTTCGATAGTGTCACTTCTTGAAGATCCCGCAAAGCTTGTTACAGTATTGAAACTTCTGGCGCGTCAGCTTCTTCGTGAGGAAATCGGCAGCCATTTCGTTGGTCGAATAGTAGACCAACCGCATCCTCCCCTTCTCGACTTCATCTTTGACGAAAAAGTAACGTAGAGAAATATGTTTCGTCCTGTTGACGAAGCCAGGCTGATGCGCGATACGAATTGCACTTTGGTTGTCGCACTGCAGGGTAAACTGGGTTGTTGTCGTCAACTTCGCTTCTTCCAATAGTTCCTGTAGGTAAAGTCCTTCGCGAGTTGCTGTGCAGACAGCGATGAACTCAGCTTCAGCAGAGGAGAGAGCAATCAACTCCTGCTTCGTCGAATTCCAAGAAATAGGTCCGATAGGTTCAAGCCGGTAGATGAATCCAGTGCGCGACCGTCGATTTGTAGAGTCAGCAGCGTGATCGGCGTCGACGAAACCGTGTAGGTATAGTGTTTTGCAACCGATGACGTTGTAGACTAAACCGATGTCAGGTGTCGAGATAAAGTACTAAAGTGCATGAAGAAGATCGAGTTGATGTTCTTCTTCAGGTCGGCGTAGGAACTGAGCGAGCTGACTGGCCGTGTAAGCTAGATCGGGACGACAAGTGACAGCGGCAAAGAGTAGACAGCCTAACTGCTGTTGATAGATCTGTAAACCGATTGAACTCAACGGTGCAGTGTTCGGTTTGTGGTCAGTCGGTAGTGAGCGGTACGGTGTAGAGACTGCAGTAGGAGTGAGGTTGAAGCAGGCAGCGAGCGTCGCTGCGTACTTCGAAGCGGTGAGATGAATAGACGTCGGTGAACAGGTAATGTTTAGACCAAGAAACTGTGAGACTGTTTCGGAGACGGTAAGCTGTAGAGTTTTCTGTAGTTTCAGTATGAAGATATCGGCAAGAGAATCGGTAGAACTGACGTAGAGGATATCATCGACGTAGGCGATGAGTAAAATATAGTTGCTGCCATCAGTCAGAAGGCACATTCCCTGGTCATGCGGTAGCTGACGAAATCCGGCAGTGATCAGCTGTGAGTGGAGGTACTGTTGCCAGAGCCGTGGTGCCTGTTTAATGCCGTATAACGATTTTCGGAGACGGCATACGCTCGGTGGGTTAGTAGCATAGAAATGCGGGTACTCTACCAGTATGAGTGCGTCGACGGGCGCGTAGAGAAATGCATTTGACACGTCGATTTGTCGAAGTCGTAGATTACGGCAGGCGGCGACACAGAGTAAACTCCGAACGCTTGTATATTGACCGACAGGGGCAAAAGTTAGTTCGTAGTCGATGCCGTAAGTCTGCTCGAACCGACAAACGACCCATCGCGTCTTGAATTTCTCAAACGACCCATCTGCATTAGTTTTGACGCGGAAGACCCATTTTCCGGTAAGTACCTTCTTCCCTTTTACTTCTGAAGTCAGTATTAGATCCCATGTGCCACGATTCTTAAGGGCTGCTAGCTCCTTGTCCATGGCTTCGCGCCATTTTTCTCGGTGAGGACTCGTAAGAGCTTGTCGAACATTTTTGGTTCAGGTATCATACTGCCGTTGTACTGTACTGCTACTGCAAATCCAAGTATCTGTAAGCCGGTTTCTGTAAAACGCGGACGTTCTTCGTTTGCACCTGCGAAATTTTCTTCTGGTCCTTCT